GAAGCAGGCCAGTCCCTGTGCTTCCTCAGTCCCAGCAGGAGGCCCCAGTCCCCTGTGCTCCGCATCTTAGCAGGAGTCCAGTCCCTTGCTCCCTCAGAGTCCCACAGGAGGCCAGTCCCCGTGCTCCTCAGAGTCCCCAGCAGGTAGGCCAGTCCCTGTGCACCTCTGAGTCACAGCAGGAGGCCAGCACCCTTTGCTCCTCAGAGGTTCACGTGGTCCTTATAGCATTAACATTTGGTGCGAACTAAGCTGTGGTCCTCTATTTTCCAAAGCTCATGAAAAATCTAATACTTATTTCTTCTGAGCCCAAAGGGTCAAAAATAATGACTCACAGGGACTGTGGATCACGTCAGCACAATGACCTGGGGAGATGACGTCGGATTTATCCACATAAACACATTTCTCCACTTTTTCTATCGCGACAAACAACATGTCAGTCTCGAACACAAAACTTTTAGTCAGCCAGCTTGAAGTGTCTAATAAAAAATGTTTAAAAACTGTTTTTTCATCACAACAATTCAGATCTATGTTTTTAAGCCTCGTCAAAGGACTATTACCCAAGTTGTCGATTCGTCCGACTCACCCGGATCAGCAAAATCAAACAGAACACAGAGGTCTCTCTCTGGTCTCTCTCTGGTCTCTCTCTGGGCTCTTTCTGGTCCTCTCTCTGTCTCATCTCTGTGTCCTCTCTGGGTCTCATCTCTCTGGTCTCTCTCTGGTCTCTCTCTCTGGTTCTCTCTCTCTGGTCTCTCTCTGTCTCTCTCTGGTCTCTCTCTGGTCTCTCTCCCTGGTCCTTCTCTCTCTGGTCTCATCTCTCTGGTGTCTCTCTGGTGTCTCTCTGGTCTCTCTCGTCTGTCTCGTCTTGACCCTCACTCTGGTCTCTCTCTGTCTCTCTGGGCTCACTCTCTGATGTCCTCTTCTGGTGCTCTCTGGGTCTCTCTCTCTTGGGCCTCTCGCGGTCTCTCTCTGGTCTCTCATGCCTCTCTCTCTGGTCTCTCTCTGTCTCGTCCACGGTCTCCTCTCTGGTCCTCTCTGCCTCACTCTCTGCCTCTCTCTGGTCTCTCTCTGGTCTCTCTCTGGTCTCCTCTCTCTGGTCTCACTCTCTGGTCCCATCCCCCCCCTCTACTGGCTCTCTCTGGTCCTCTCTCTGCCTCTCTCTCTGGCCTCTCTCTGGCCTCTCTCCTGGCCTCCTCTCGTCTCTCTACCTCACTGGTCTCTCTCTGGTCTCTCTCTGGTCACTCTCTCGAGGGTCTCTCGGGTCTCTCTGGTCTCTCCTGGGCTAAACCGTGAAAATTGTAATTCTCACATAAAACAACATCTTAACGATAAAAAACATCAAATATCAGATTTAGTTTACAAAGGAGTTTCATTCGAATCTCATTTTAACATTTTCAGGTTTTTATTTTGTATAAATTGTATGAAATAACTTTTGCACAGGTACAAAAGCACTGAGCCGTGTTTATACTTTTACTTTCACTTTCCAAAGGCTCATAATCTCACCTTGTTCCCGCGTGGCCCGTTCAAACCTCTGCATTGCTGTATATTTCTTATATGCAGGTTTTTTGACGACTGAATGGAAGGATCTCACCGATTTCCATGGTTACCACTTTGAAATATACGTCATTTTAAAACAAAAGTCTCCTCCTCCCGCTCTACGATGCAGATTAAAGGGAAATGTCTGGGAGTTTTTGAATAATATTTTTACCCATTTTCGGGCTGATAACCAGGAAAGCCCTTGTTCTCATGTTGGGTTTGTGCGAAGGAATCCTGGGTTGTGTTCTTCTTCAAGGATGTGTTTCTTTCTAAAGGATCATTATTGACGGTTCTCCTGTAAACGGCTGCGCTGTTACGAATGTTCCACAAAGTCCGTAGTCTCCACTTGGGCATAGAAGTGCATTTTTAAATAATATTGGGTTGTTTTTGGTGGTTTGTGCGGATTAACAAGGGGGCGGGGTCTAGCTATGATGTCACAGATCGAGAGATTCGATGCCCGGCAAGCGTTCAGTGAGGGTCCCAGAGCAGAACATAGAGTGAAAAGTGGATGAGAAAATATCTAAAAATGCTGAAATTAGGCAAAACATGTGTCTTATAAATTTGGGATTAATCGATTTAAGAGTTGTAAGACTTTTCAAGTGTATCTGTCTGCGGCCTGCCGTAACGGAGCGTGTCGAGTAGTGGGCGGTGTCGGTATGACGGTCACTACTCGACACGCCCACAAAGTCCGCGTGGATGAGCTTGGGATCAATATATAATACGGGTATGAGTAGTAGTGAGCTACTATCTATGCCCAATGAATTTAGCGCAATATATGAATTTTATGGCGCAGTGTCATGGTCAATATTATTTATTGGGAGAAAATGGAACGAAGTTTCTGTAAATACAAAGTAGTAAGATTTGCCTACAAAAGCTGCCATTACTCAGACAAACAATCAAAGATTTGAAGCACTCAGGACAAAAGTTAATGAGTCAAATAATGCCAGTGCTTATGTCCTAATGTGTACATTCATTTATAAAAGGGGCCTATGGTTTTGGTGGCTCAAAAATCTGGCTCCCCAAGTGCAGTCTGGTATGTTCTTGGAGCAAGCACTTCACCCACAATGTGTGTACATAGTGAGAGACTGCTTGGTGGTGGCGCCAATAGCACAGATAGTAGCCTGCAGCCTCCAACCCAGCTGGTGACACACTGGTGTGGAATAAATGAATAAATTAGTGTGGCGTTTTGAGAACTTTCCAACACCGGATATGAAAAGTACATTACACGTTAAAGATATTATTACACCACCACCACCAACCACACACTCCAACACCCATGGTCTCCACATTACTGGATCATAAAGAAACATGCCATAACATTTGTGGCCAACTTGAGGCCTTTTGGGACCAAGCGAGACATTCATTACTATGTGTTTTGTCAAATTTGTATGTAGAAAGAGAGATGAACAAAAAGAACAAAATTGGTTGTCGGCATTTTAGTACATCATTTTTGTATGATTTGTGTATCTGAATGGCTCTGAAAATGTCAACACTGAAATACATTCAACACAAAAACAAATTCTCTTTTATTATAATCATGAGAGAAAGCTTCAGAGGACAGCCGCCAAGCTCCATCTCTCATTGGAAAGCTTTCAGCCTACCCTGCTAGCCTCCTCTGTAAATGCCTCACCAGATCATTTGCATCATTTAAAACTCATTGTCCATAAAGAACAAACACAGATAATTGTGCAGTGCACAGTGAAATATGTCGCATCAATATTTAAATAATCACTACCATGTTCATACTTTGGCCCCTTTTATTAATGTTTTCAATTGCTTCATGCTGAGGCAGGTGAAATGCCCTCGCCAGAGTTGAACTGTCACCTAGATAAGAGAAAAGTGTTACATTCAACAACAACAGTTCACAAAACCAAATGCATCCCTAAAAGGTGTTTGTGTCCGGTTTCAATATATTGTCAGTGACTTGCACTTATGACTTTATGGTCTCTGTACATCACAACAATGTTGCAAATGCAGATTTTTAGTACATTACGTCCAGGAAACATGTACCATGACATGTTTTATGTTTGAGGGGGTTTCAGTGGTTTTATGCACACTTTCATTACAATAGTCCGATGTCAGCCTGGAGGCGCTCGGGCCTACTAATGTAAAAACAATACATTATATAAATCATGCTATACATCCGAAGAGAAGCCGATGTAGACCCAATCAGAAAGGAAGGGGGAGGGAGCTTGGTTGTCTTTTTTTTTTTCAATCAAGTACTCTCCGTCTCTCTTTCCTGACAAACTCTAGACAATCACGTTAAAAGAACGAAATGACAATAAGTTGCACAACACCTGATTCGAAGTTAAAACATAGCTCCATGACAAACAGATGCCCTTCAAATGGGTTTGCACGTGTTGTGAGCATTTGTGCTTCTCGCCATGGGGGGTTTAAACAGGTTACACACGTGAGCGGGTTCCCCTGCTTTCGCACTGGACATTGATTTCCATCACTGACATAGTCCGGAAGCAACTGAGAAGCAGACATAAACATCCATTTGTGCACACTCAGAAACACAAATATCTTGGAACATCATCCAATAACTATGGTCAGTGACTTCTGTAACTGTGATAGGAAACTCGGGAAGCCTACATCACCTATTGCCCTAACTAATATTCTCCACTGTTCCTTGGAAAAACATTAAAGAGTTTAGTTTTTTCCTCCTATTCACCATTTTTAAACGATGCAAAAAAGACTTGGGCAATATTATATTTGTATATATTATACTTATGTACCTAGTATACTATGTACCTGACATGTCGATGGCACATGGACTCTTAGAAGAAACCCCTACAAATTGCTTTTCTCTGCAATGTATTATTCACTTCTTAAAAAACATTTCTAGTCAGGTGGGATGTGCATTTTATTCATTATACACTGTACACTGGAGGGACGCCAAAAATAAATAAAACACGTATGTTGGTTGACACTTACTGTTTTGCGTACGGTCTGCCATGTCTTCTCTTCACGGATAACTTGCCAGAAGTTCAATGTGATTCAAAATTCATAGTAGTAGCGTGTCGGGTAGTGACGGTCACTACCCGACCACGCCTACTACTCGCACGCCACCGTACAGCAACCGCTGACCAGACCCTTCCTCGTTCCGTTCGCTGCGCCCCAGAGCCTTCCTCAATAGTGGAGCATGGAGGTATTTTGGGCAAGGCCCCGATCCCAAGGGGGTGGAGGCCCGGTGCGAACCGTCGAAACGCGATGCCCTGCCCTGACACTTTTTTCCTCAGAGCTGAGGAAGTTTTTCCTGTTATAATCTTTTTTTGACATGAATTCAGCACCACCTCGCGCGGGGTGCTTGACGAAATCAGACACGCGCGTACCGTGTGTCATCGCTCCAATGCAGAGCGTTTGGGCGCGCGCACGTACACACCCCACACGACACTCTAACCGTGCAATATTGGTCGCTGACCTTTTTTTAGCTGAGCACATGGTCTCTTTCGTCCTGGGGCAAAATGGTAAGCAACTCAAAGATTGAACCAAAAGGAGTCTTTTTCGTCTAATAGTTAGATTTGGGGCAAAATGCGCCAAAATGGCTATGAGCGGAGTCAAAAATATTATTTTCTCATCCAATACGTTTTTTTTTGCCATGGCCTCCGACACACTCTGACAACATACACTCCTCCTCCACCACACTGACAACAACAAAATACTCGTCAACCTCCTCCTCCACACACACTGACCACAACAAAACACTCCATGCTACTATAGCAAGACATACAGTGTGGTTTGCTAATGCGTTTAAAAATATTTTTTGATGTGGATATTCGGACATAAACATTGGCAATAGCACGCTCACACACCCTGTCCACAAGCCGCTGATCCTCCTCCTCCTCCTCTGCTCACACAAAGGGTCTGCTCCTCTGCTCACCAACTGTATCACTGCTCCTCCTCTCCTCCTCCTCGCTCCGCCATCTGCTCACACAAAGGGGTCCTGGCTCTCTGCTCACACTGTATCACTGCTCCTCCTCCTCCTCCGCCTCCTCCTCCTCTGCTCCATACAAAGGGTATGCTCCTCTGCTCACACCTGTCACACTACGGCTCCTCCTCCGCGAGTATCCATCTCTCCTACAACTGCGATCATTCCCGTTACTTTCTTTGTATCTCACTCAGACACTGCCAAAGTTATCTGACAGTTTTTTTTCGGAGGACGCCTTGCATACATAGCTGCCCGCGAGCGCCTGCCTGTTTACAAATCGCTTTTGGTGAAAATTTGACTTTTACTTGAAACAATGTCTTTTGGATTACAAACGAAGCAAAGAGGTTCCAGAGAAGGGGTTTAGGGTTTCCAAATTTGGAGTGCAGTCTGCCCTTTGGGGACCCTTGAACTAGTGTATTTATAAAATAAAAGAAAAGGAAGGAAGATTGCGAGGACGCCTTTGTGGTGCGAGGCCTGTGCGACGTGCACAGGTCGCACAGCCCTTAGGACGGGCCTGATTTTGGAGAGGTTTAATCAGAGAGGCATTATTTTACCTTTTCTAACTTCAACAAAAATGATAAATAGACTGTAACATTGGTCCAAAGGCATGAGTATAACACACGAATACTAAACCATCCTCCGAATCAGTAGGTTGGCAGTATACGGCATATTGATTCTTAGCACTTAGCCCGCCATTAAAGAAACAGAAGAGCCCTGCCATCAGCTCTGCGCCATGCGCTTTCGCTCAGTCATTGTCTAGCGTCTGAGGAGTGGGTCCACGTTTTTATACACTCTACATTGATTCCCGGTTTTAATAATTACGAAAAGCTTGAATATCCAAATTAAAATGTAAATTTAATGTTGTTACAAATGCAAATTACAAGTCAGAGCCTTTTGATCCATGTTTTTAGTCTGTAGTTTACAGTGATGGGAAGACGAATGTATAAGTGTTGCAGAGGGCAAGCAGAAGCCTAGTTGGTTTCTACTGTGGTTTATTGATCGTGTTAAGTATTACTCTGTCTGCTAAATCCTGACAATAGTTTTTAGGATTTTCATTATTTTAATAAGTCAAATCAACTGTGATGCGTGATAAAGACAAGTCTGTTGAAAAACATAGTTATTCAATTAAGGACAGTTTTCAGCACAAACAGCAAAACAATAATAGTGCGGTAATACAATAACGAGTGTATATATGTTAATCATAAGTTTATATAAATGTTAGATATGAGTTTATAAATATGGTTAGAAGTCCACAGTCTCTGATATCGGGCTCTGATCCCAAACTGCTTTTCTCTTCGAAGCACAAAGCTCTCCTGCTCCATAGTGCCTCGTCCCATGCTCCTCGCTGCAGCCAGCTCCGTCTCCTTCCAATACACACACACGGACAATCACAGCGGAGCTTCCTTGCGCGACCCTTAAAGGAGCAATATGGTTAAAATCCTGGCCAAAGTGTGGTACTGCAGTCACGAGTCAATATTTTTGTAGTCCTCTCTCACTCATCCCTGACTCAGGTTCCAATTCCACACCAAATCCACAGCAAACACAGGGAATTATTTTTATCAGTTGTCGGCCGTCTCCAGTCCTCATTGGCCGCTGACAGCCCGTGCTAATTCTGAATGAATGTGTTGAATTAATGTTTTTTTATTAGTATTATTTGGACTTTGAATAAAAAACAAAAACAAAATAAAAGCAATGTAATAACACATAGTTTATGCAAAATAAATAAGCAATTGATGTTCAAAATAGAGTGGGAAGAATGGATGTTGGAACGTATTTCATTCAGAGCGTATCCAATCATCAGGGTTTTTGCTCAAGAGGATTAACACCTTTACATTTTATTTTAGTCCTAACATGTAAAAGTCCCACATCAAAACGAGACTAACATTATTTTAATTGGGTACATTGAGGTGTCTTAAATGATTATTTTTACAATTAAGCTATTATCTGCAAAAAAACGTCTTGAAACTTCATCTTAGTACCGTTTTTAGAGCAATCTGTCATAGACTGTGATAACATGCAATAAATACAAAAAGACATAGCCCGGGATCGAACCCGGGTTTCCAGGCATCGTAAGCGCACAGGTTTAGACCACTAAGTCTAGTGGTTCCCAAAGTGGGGGTCCTGACCCCCCGAGGGCGCGGGAACCCCTGTGGGGGTCCGCAAGATGATTTCCACACAAAAAAGACTATAAATTAAAATTTTAAATAACGTTAGTAATTTTGTCCCAGTCATTGCAGCGTCAAACAAATCATCACGTAACACAGCCACATGCGCACGCCAAAGCCGTGTCCTGCTGTTGTTTGCTAAAACTAAAGGTGTATTTGGAGGCTCCACATAAAGAAATACCTGCTTTAAAATGAAACCGTGGTTAATATCTACACCAGACAACCGGAGGGGGAGGAAAAGTCCCTTGATCAGGGGCTGAAGTGCCGAAGAGAGGGAGAGAGTGCAGAGGAGGAGTGAGGGCAGAGGAGGAAGAGGGCATAGTAGAGGAGGGCCGAGAAAGAGGGAGAGAGGGCAGAGGAGGATGGAGGGAGGAGGGCAGAGGAGGGAGAGAGGGCAAGGAGGGAGGAGGACAGAGGAGAGAGAGGGAGGGAGAGAGGGCAGCGGAGGGAGGGCAGGCGAGGGCAGGGAGGGCAGAGAGGGAGAGAGGGCAGCGGGAAGGGAGAGAGGGCAGCGGCAGGGAGAGATGGCAGAGGAGGGAGAGGGAGGACAGGAGGAGAGAGAGGGCAGTAAGGAGGGAGAGAGGGCAGCGGTAGAACACGCGTTAAAGAGGCCCGCTTTCCGTAGTTCCGGTTAAAGAGGTCCGCACATTAAAAGGCGGTGGCCGCTTTCTGCTGTTACGTTTATGCGTTCATCCCCGCGGCTTCATCTTTCCAAAGTTACTGTCAAGTTTCAAAGCATAAACCGGCCACCCCTTTTAATGTGCGGACCTCTTAAACCTTTGACTCCGAAAAGCGCGGGCCTCTTTAACGGAGCTCTGTTCTAGCGCTGCCCTCTCACTTCACCTGCGTGTGACTTCCCAAGCAACATCGGGATTATAAAAGTTACACTACTTTACAACTCAAGGTAAACTTTTCACTTTTTCAACCTTTCTGTTCTCAGATAGATTTTGGCAGGTGCAGCAAGGCCACTATTCTCATGTTACCTCAATTATATTCTCTGGTCTGGTGAATTCTTGTCCTACTTAGATTATTCATTGTTCTAATCTCTGTAAAGCCTTGAAAGCTGCAACATGTTTACTTGATGGGTGTTGAAATGCAAAATGTATTAAATTTTCTACATTGTATTTTGTAGCGGACCAAATTGAAGGTTACTGGGTTCAGACTTGTCCAGTTTGCAACGCAGACTTATAATACCCACTCTCACTCACCTGCTGTGTGATGGACCTCATTATATTATTATTGAGGGTCAAGAGGGTTAATGTTTAAACTGAATGAAAGTGATAGCTGTAGCAACACGAACAACTGAATACTGTTGTGAATTCTAGTTCTAGTTCTCGTGCTCTCTTTGCTTGGACTTGCTGAGGCTTAGATGAAGGTAAATACAATGGAAACGCACAAAGAGATTGGTTAATTCTTTCCATGCAATCAAACAGTTTCCGCTTTAACATGCTGTCACTTGATAAACCAGCAAAATTAGATCTCCATAACATCTCCACAATATTCTTATAACATCCTTACTGAGTGGTCATCTGCCTGAGACCACTAATATGACTACAGCAGGCCCTGCATTGAGGGGCCATATGGTGCTCTGGGTTTGGGATGCAGGCAGATGAAACATGATTAAATATTTAAGTTACATTTGAAAGAAGGCCTTTATTTTTGCACTTGGACTGTATTTGGGAAATTGATTTATTGGGTGAATATCCAGTTTTAGTCAGATACAGTAGCATCAGGAGTAGAGGAAAAAGATGGAGAAATGACACCTGACATGCGGGTGTCCAGTAGTGGAAGTTTTGAGTATAGCCCTGATAAACTCTTTACCCATACTTTTTGTGACCTATCCTACTATCTAAATCCCTAGCAGACTGTGTTTTGGTCTCCACGTGGGTACATTTTGATGCAAAGGGCCAGCATCTCATTTAGTCACAGACTGTGGGTGGTTTATTGCACGGCTGCTACAACAAAACACTTGTTGTAAAAGGAAGAGGCTTGCTCATCCTGCCGTATGCCTGCTTGTGCATCAGTGAATCTGTGTGTGTGTGCGTGTCTCTGGACTAAAGGCACAGTCATGCAGAAACCAGCCAGCAAAGATCCTTTTTCCGGAGCACTGCTCTATGTGCGGGGTGCCTATTATGCTCGGGGATCTGATTAGATAATTAATGATTTGATTTATGTAAGCAATGGCCAGCCCCTATTCATGACTTGACCCTTGCCCATAGGATCTGCATTAAGGGACAGTCCAGCTCACTCACAAACGCTCGTGACCTTTGTTGGCCAAGTGGACAGAAATGGCTGTCCACTTGGCCTGGCTTGTGTATTGGACAAACACAAAACTGACATTGTCCTGAAAATCCATTAGGTTTTTAATTCTTAGTTTAGCATGATCTTTGTGTTTTAGGATAGCCCCAAAATTGCTTTTTCTCAATTTATTCAAGTCCTTGAATCTTTATTGGTCAAAAATGGACAGCAATTAAAGCATGTTTTTTTCATTCGTGTGTGACTATGGAGATTTTAAGTAGTATAATTCTACCTTGTTATTACTATGCAATCATGTAGGCGAGATACCAGTGCTATCTCCACAAAGCTGTAATAATGTATAATTGGTTATTTAATTTCCCTAAGAGCAGCTAGATGCAAAAATTATCCATGGGGAGGAGTAAGTTCACAATTTCTTTAGAAGTGTGCTTTCATATAAAGCTGCTGTTTATTTTGGCTTCGTTTAGGGAAAGTTAGGGGAGAGATATCCCAGTAGATTATTTGCTGCCAGCTTAATTTAAGCTTATCTTTTGTTTGTGTACACATAGTAAGCACTTGATGTTTATGAAATTGCACTGCCTGACTTGATAGTGCAAGGATTCTAAAATTGTACTTTCTATTGAACAAAAGTACACACATGGTTATAATATGGATTTTCTTTACAGTTCAGCATGAAAGTCGCCTTGTTGACTGTGACTGTGGTGCTGCTCGTGGCTGGAGAGAGCACTGCAGAGAGGATTCTGTCAAGAAGGACCAAGAGGGAGCTGGCGGGCCCACTGCACATGGGGGGAGTCAGGGACCCGTATGGCTCATACTGCCAGAGGAGAGGAGGTTGCTGTCCGGGCAGAGACGACATGTGCACTGTCCCATATCTGGACACCATCTGCTACTGTGACCTCTTCTGCAACCGCACCGTATCCGACTGCTGTCCTGACTTCTGGGGACACTGTCTCGGGGTGCAGCCTCCTTTCATTGGTAAGAAGTTGGCTTAGAAAAATAATCAATATGAACTGAGAATTGAAACCTCATGCTATATGATCCAACTAGCTTTCATGAAACCACATATATCAGATCTGTCCAAACTACATTCTATGAGACAAGATACGCCCTCAGACAATTGTCATCCCTCAGGCTGCCTGGTGAAGTGGCCCCAATGACCTAAAGCATTCAGTTTTACATCAAGTTTTTACATTGTACATTAATTAACCCTAATTTAAATAATATTTTAGATTATTTTGGCGCTAATTAGGTCTATTAAGTTATCGCTAATGTATTGATTGTGACTATGCTGCTCTTGTTTAAATAAAAACGTTTGGGCACCCCTGACGTCGATAGATAGACCCGCAAGTAGAAACAAAGAAAACGTTGACACTTTTTACTGTCTTTTGTAACCGACTCTGGCCTCATAAATGTACGTATGTGCCAATCAATGCCATGGACACAGAGGTTCTTTGTACTGTGCTAAAAGTGATAGAAATACTGTAGCCTTAACACAACGTCCAGAATGACACACCTCAAAGCTTCTTTATGAAACACCTTCACACAATTTTTGGATTGAATCTTTTGTAAAGTTGTGAGTGTGACATAAGCACATCATGTCCAGTCCTAGCCCCAGGGAGTTTGTGCATGTTTAATGGTAGGGCAAGGCGGTGCACCCGGAGGAAGCCCAAACAGGCACAGACACACGCCTGGGAGTCGAACTACTGCGGCAAATGAAAATGGATTTTAATCCTATTTGTTTCTATTGTATAAACGTCACTAGTGAACATGCAAAGGTGTAAAATGTGCCATTGATCTCTACCTGAGCAGGGAGAAGGAACAGTGAGCTTCTTATTAACCCAGGACGAGGGGAGGGGGGTACAGAGGGATGAATAGGGGTCAAGCTAAAGAATGTGGGCAATGTGAAGGCAGAGACACCAGGCCTGGGACGGGTGACACTAAGGTCTTGGCAGGTATGTGCCCCTATATGCGACAAAGAAGTTCAAAAGGCGACATTTTCATATATGAAAGGCCTTGTTACGAGCTTGAAGCTTTGAAGAGGGACAAGAAGATGGTGACTTCGTATAGACTGACCTCAAATGATTATTCACAAATGTGTGTCCATTGTCTGATTTTACCCTAACTACATATTACCATTGTCAGAAATGAAGCAGTTACCACCATCCCAGCAAATCACCTGTTGAGAGCGAGAGAATTATATGTCTACAGACTGTATCTGGCACTCTAGTATTTTACAGCAAGTTGTGATTGCCCATGACAGCTGTACGCCATAAATCCCACTTTGCTCGCTCGTCCTCACGTTATGGGCTGATCATATACTTTGTAATATCATGCCAAGAATTCTTTCACAAATTCACACTGGCTGCAGCCCAAACTATAAGTCATTTCATGGATAAGAGTCTGTCACCAAGATTCTGTTGTTTACACAATATGTGTGAATCAGATGGTGAGTGGAACAGGTCAAATTCCCTTCAAAGGAATGTCTAAAGCTGAGTCACTGTCGCCACGTCATGTTTCGTGCTCAAAATGGACTTTATCAACAGGAGATGAAACTTTTGCCCAGTTTAATTATTGATGCATTGGGTGGGCTACATTCCTGCTCCTCTCATTAGATAAAGGTGAACATAAGCTGGTTAAAGCGTGGAGGAAGCCTGGGAAGGCAGGAAAGACGCTAACGCCACATTCCTACTCTGGATTATGGAGCTCAGAGCTTCTTAGAGGCTCACATAGTTTGTGTGTACACTCGCACCCAGACCAACACATGCACACACACCAGATGAACTATTAGTAATACATCAAATACATTAAGCCACTTTTTTTTTGTCTCCTTAGGCACCTGCGAACGAAATGGAAACAAGTTCTTAACAGGGCAAACATACAAAGAGAACTGCAATTTATGGTAGGTAAACCTTTCTCCTCATGTCTCTTATTGCACATAAACGTAAATGCTCCCACAGGTGAATTTAGGCCAACAAAAACCTACTGTAGTCGACATTATGGGATATACTTTTATTTAAACTATTTCAGTATGTGAATGGGCCTGAACTGTGGTTATAATGGCTTGAGAAAAAGCTTGAACAAAATTGCTTTTCATAACCACATTTTCTTACCCCTCTCCTACTGAGACGTATCAACTCAAAAGTGAAACCAAGCCAATAACGGGATTACATCAAGAACCTACTAGAAAATGAAACTGCTCTTTCACACATGCATTCAACCTGCAATTGATTGAAAACATACATAAATGATGGCTCTTATGTAGAGTTCCACCAATGCAGACGTGTGAAGTATTGAATATCCAGTTGATGCAAATATTTTGGTTGAGCTTTAATTGAATGATTTACATGTGTTAATATATAGCTCAGAATGTTGAAATTAGTGTTTATTCATTTACCAAAAGGAAAACATTAAAAGGAGTCATGGAAAGTTAAAGAAGTACCAATCAACCTTTGACTTTTCTTTATTAAAATAAAAGATAGACTCACATCAATACACTGGTCCAGAGCAAAAACCGAATCTGAATATTGAAGTTATTTCTTTAAAGAAAATTGTCCAACGTATTGTACCATGTCTTCAGTACCATGGAGCATCACTGGACAATTCCAAACTGAACAATATTCACAAAATTGTTAAGCTCTTTGTGTGACTATGGTCTGTGAAGTGCGGTATATAAATAATAATTATTCTTTCTTTTTCATTGACTATTTTCAAACAGAATCTCACTGCTGTTTGTTGAGACTTGTTTAAACTAAACAGAACTGACCCTCAGTCCTTCACACGGTGCAGCTGTCGGACAGCCGTAGCTGCCCTGTGTCAGCCTGATGGTTCTAAACTCGTAGAGACAGCTCTATTAGATTTGACTGAAAGGCCCGGATAGTTGTGCAGATACCAGACAGACCGGAAAGGGCTCTCATTGAGATTTGATGGACTGCAGGTCACCAGCTGAAGTGCACGAGGACGGACTGTCAAGATATTCTTAGGTTTGCAAAAAAAATCTGTCGGCCAACTCCCCTTTTGACTCAACGCCCAAACACTTTCACACAGACTTACTAAAGCAGTACACATGGACACTTGAAAAATTACACCCTGCCATTGGCACAAGGGGAGATATTTGCTCCTCCTATAGTTTCTAATTTCCCAACAGACCCGGTTTAGTCTGACCGAGCTTCCTCTCCCATTTTTCCTCTCATTAACGGAACAGCAGCCCCCACACTCCTATCTTTACTTCCGACTGACAACAGATTGAAAAACAAGTGATACCCTGTCAAGCGTAGTATTCACGATAGACATACAGTAGTTTAAGTGCTTGAATAGCAGGATGACTGTTGATGGCGTGATGTACCTGGAACATCTCACAGTTCTTGAGCATAAAGAATTTGAGTTTATACCGGCTCAATGTGTGAGTTATCACAGTTGTTGATGGATTCGTCATTCAGCTTGAACAAAACGTGTCCATTAACAGTAGCATCAGTAGCATCAAAAAAGAACATTAACCAGGTTCTTTAAATCCTGTTTGGACATTTTAACTGTTTCATATCATATACATCATATAGCCTTATTGCAAAAGTGCTTAGGGCCTTGCAATAGGCTTTTTAAAAACATTTGTATTCTACTTCCAAGTTATTTCTATCTAAATAATGTGAAGAGAGACTTCTTGTAGATATAGAAATGTATCCATTATTGAATACATTTTACAAATCAGACTTTCCGGTACATCTAGAAAAGAATGTTTTTATTTTATTCTTTATGTTAAAATTCTAACATTTATCACCTTTTCCCCTCTACTCAAATAACTTTTGAAAGTCATGATACAGTGAATATTGGCCTTCTATATCAGAACTTAGCAATGCAATAATAACCCACAATATTTGTCTAAAAGAAGTGATTTTTGTCGAACCCAAACATCTGTTGCCACTTCAGCGATACACCTTGCACGGCTCTGTGTAATATACAGTATAAGTGAAATCCCAAAGCATGCACTGTATATCCGCATGTCCCAGAGGTGAAGTCATCGGGATTATCAAGCGTGACCTGGAATGTAAAAAATGGCCTCCCGTTGTCCACATAGGCCTCATTACTCAGATGTGTGTCCATACTCAGTCCGTGTTCGTTTGTCATTACGTTAATTTATGATGCTTCCTGACCTGGTGGCGCTTTGCTGTGTGCATGCCTGCGATCTTCAGACGGGAGGGAAGGTCAAAGGTCTCTGTCTTTACCCCTGCGTTTCTGTCCCTCTGTGGGATGAAGCTATGGGAGTCAGAGCGAGGTTTTGTGCGCTGATGTTGAGATACGCATGATAGATTTAGTGTGCCTGAAAAGGAAATAGGTGTTAATTGATAAAATATGTCTTGGCGGAGTTCGATAACTGTAACAGGTGTAACAACAATGTATGAGATGTCATTATTTGCAAATGGTAACAGAAGTCAAACTTGTAAACTGGAGCTATGCATTCTTTTTTATCTCAGTCAGCTGTAGATGTCTTGCTATTTTTAAAAGCACCCAAAAAAAAACAAGTAAATGTCATTGTTAATATCCGGCTCCTTATCCACTTTGTCATCTCCCCGACTTCTGTATTCAGAGAGCTTTCTCTTGGCTAAAAATGGACCTGTGTGCCGCTGCCTTAAAAGGCTTCTTGTTGGCTTATCCGACTCATATTCTCATTTTGTCTCTTTCAGAATCAGAATCAGAACAATTATTCCATCATTGTAAAGACCAATTTGGCTTGTCTTTATTTTGAATGTTCTTGGGAATCTGCGTGGCTTCTTCAAGTTATTATAAACAATATTTTTTGTATAATCTTTAACTGTTATTTTTGTGTTTCTTTTGTAGCACGTGTGGTTCTCTTGGACGCTGGGAGTGTGAGCAGAACTCCTGTTTGATAGAGGCGGACATGATCCAAGCAGTGAACAGAGGAAATTATGGGTACGGCCTGAGCCATACAGCACAGTGTTGTGATAAGATCTATAGCCCACATAGTTCCTGATGTCAGTGTCCGGCTCTTTCAGGTGGAGAGCAGCTAACTACAGTCAGTTTCATGGCATGACACTGGATGAAGGCATCCGCTACAGACTGGGCACACAGAGACCCTCCAGGACTATCCTTAACATGAACGAGATTCAGGTATTCACTTTTTTATTTCAATACTTCTCAACTATTTGCAATAATGGAAACCCAATGGAAACCCCCTAACCCTAAGTCCACAGCATCACTATACAAGTATAGATATCAAGAAACGATTACAGTACAAAGTACATTCCATGAAGACAGAAAATGCAATTTACTCTGTGGGTTAGTTGCAACATAAAATAATATTGGTACAGCCAGGAGGCTTGCTGGAGTCGAGGAAGACAATATCCTTCCCTCCTTAGGAAATCTCAGTTAAAGAATTTCCCCTGACTAAATGTCTCCATAGGAAACACCCCACACATCACAAACACACCCATTTCATCAACACATTTTACACTGAGATTATTTATAACATGTTGTAGCAGGCTGTGTTCATATACTGTCGTTGCGGTCTCTTAAGTATTGATAAAAAAGGCTGATTCTTGAAGAGAGAAATGTTTTTATTTAATTATGGTGGCTCCTGAGCAGGTGACTGCCTCTGTGTCTGGGTCCTCGTCCAGTGTGATGATGGCGGTGTCTCTGTTTACATTGCGTCCAGACAGATTACATAAGACAGACCGAGCAGACAGAAGATAGAAGGGCATACAGACCTCCTCCTCTGTCTGCACCTCCATCTCTGCACGTGCTCTTGACAGTGGGTTTTGGTTCACGTCTCAAACTGTAACCCCCCTGTCCTGCTCTCCTCGTTTGGAATGGCCTTACAGTAATTTAGATCAGCTCTTAACACTACTGTTTAGCTGTTAGCGGTTACACGGCATGTCTTGAGGATGTGTTGTAAGCTAAGACCTCGACCTTTGGCCTCTTGGATTGTGGCACATTCCTCTGTCGTGTATCAGCTGTCCGTCTGGCCTCTGCATACTTCAGAAGGGGGACGTCCACTTTACAGAAGCGTGTGCCCTGTTATCACACAGAACAGAGAGATTAGGAGTTCACCCAACCTTAAGCGGAGATTAATGAACACTGTATGCTTGGAATTTCCCAAGTTATGTGAGCCATATCATAAACTTTGAAAGAATGTTAGTGAAATATGTATGAATAACACTAATACTATACATCCATAGAGTGTGGTGGCAAATATGATTGGGATATCTGGGATCAAAGGTAACTGTCGATTCCTCTGGCTCATAGATTGACAGAGGAACAAATGCTCCTAATTGCCTGTGAACTCATTTCTGCACAATACTTTATTAACACACTTATGCAATCAGCCCATGTTCCAACCAGTGTGGCACCAAGAAAACAACAGGTTGTTGTAATCCAACATGCCCCATCATTATTCAAAATAATGATAGGATTATTTAACCATTGAAATAACTTGAAAAACGATTGATCTGTTTCTTAGATGAACATGGACCCCCAGAGTGAGCATATTCCACTTTATTTCAACTCTGTCGAGAAGTGGCCTGGGAAGATTCATGAGCCCCTGGACCAAGGGAACTGCGCAGCATCTTGGGCCTTTTCCACCGCTGGTAGGCTGAGAAACAATTCATTTATATTTCCTACTAGCTTTTAAACCTGATTTGTGATTATTCTGTTACTTTTGGAAATTGGGCATTGAAAGACACATTTCCCACCTGTAGGACCAATAGAGGTTCCTTTATCTTAACTCAGAAAGACAATGGCAAAGCTACATAAATGGATAGTCTTATTATCTTTGGGAAAGATAATACCAAAATATGCTGTTGTTCTTCATTAGCTGTGGCTTCAGACCGAATCTCCATCCAGTCCATGGGTCACATGACGCCGCAGCTGTCTCCGCAGAACCTGATTTCCTGCGACACCCGTAACCAGGGGGGCTGTGCAGGAGGGCGCATCGATGGGGCCTGGTGGTACCTCCGGCGCAGAGGGTACACTTCAACACAAACTAAATCTGTGCGGAATCAGAAACATGTTTGTTAATTTTTTTCATGTTTTTCAGAGTGGTCACTGAAGACTGCTACCCCTACAGCCCACCGCAGCAGACGCCCACTGAAGCGGCCCGCTGTATGATGCAGAGCCGGTCTGTGGGGCGGGGGAAGAGGCAGGCCACACAGCGCTGTCCCAACACACACAACTATCACAACGACATCTACCAATCCACCCCTCCATACAGGCTCTCCTCCAATGTAAGTAATGCCTCCACCACCTGCTCGTCACTTCCTGTAAACTGTCATTAGACATTGTGCTCAGAAACAATGTAATTCCCCTCACATGACTTTACAGTGTAGTATGGAAACGTTTCAAGCTACTACTCAACCATAAAGTCTCCAAAAGGCCTCAGATTTAACGTACAGTAATATAGCCCCTGTAAATTCTTAAATTCTCGACTGTTTTATAATTATATCATTGCTGAGTGGATTCAACTTATTTACTGGTTACATCTTCAATACAAATGTAATATTCAGTTTATTCTTGTATCAAATCACAAATAAAATTCAATTATGTGAGCTGTCGTCATTGATGGACCTTAATCCTGTGTTTATTTCAGGATTCAGCACTTTGCCAAAAATATTCTGCACACTTTTTTACCATAAGACCAAAGTTACCACATTTATCTTCCGCTAATCTTGTTCAGTAAAGCTATTTCTGACATGTGTTTTATTAGACTGAATCCATCAAAGTGGACGTACGCAAACATTTCGGCTCCTCACAATCGTTATGGCCTGATATTTGTGTCTCCCGGTGGTCAGCGGAGTCGATATGGCCCGCATTAAATGGCCCAATATATTTCCCCGTTAACATCTTCAGAGACTGTTTTACTCCTCTCCATCTGACTGACATATAATAAGCTTTATCTTGTCTCACAGGATAAGGAGATTATGAAGGAGATTATGGATAATGGCCCGGTGCAAGGTAAGATGATCTGTTTGAGTGTTCGCCTCCTTAAATATAATCGTATCTTAGTCTAAACACTGTATCGACTTGAAAAGCTTGTAACTTTGAGGGTTGGATTGCAGGTCCGACCCTTGACTTTTGCCATTCTAAAAGATCTGGCCACATTCTAAACTTTGACTCCTAACACCTGCTGAAACTATGGACTATCATGAGCGCAGGGTCAAACTGACTCTCTGTCATAGGCCGCCTCATTGTCTGCAGCCCATCTGGACCATTGTCAAGTCCACTTAAAACGCAGCATTCATGTGTGTGCGCTGTGGGCCCGTGCCAGGTCTGTGGGGTTATTGTTAAGCCGTCCAGAAAGACTTGCTGGCTTTATGTCAAGTTCCCTTTTGACAAAGCCAAAGAGCTTGAATATTTGTATTGTGTTGGCGTCCCGGTTTGGTGGAAAGTACAAATGAGTCTATATACTGTAATCAGATTGCTCACCAGTCTTTTCAGTGATAATTTAAGTCTCTCAAATGTGGAGTGGCAATCTGACGTTTACATTTTCTTCTTTAGCTATTATGGAGGTGCATGAAGACTTCTTTGTTTACAAGAGTGGAATCTACAAGCACACTGACGTCAGCTTCACAAAACCTCCCCACTATCGCAAACATGGGACACACTCAGTCAGGATTATTGGGTAAGTTAATAAATGTATTCATGTGTCTACACCATTGACTGTATATAGGAAAATGCTAACCCACTAGCTCTATAAAGCCTAATAGGGAAGTTCTCCTGGACAAGTTTTATTCCTACTCGCTTTGGCTCTCATTCGCTTTTAGTACGTATAAACTCTTACTGACTTTCACCATTTTGTACCTTCTATCCGTGATTTTGGCTTTGGCTACCGAGTAGGGTGAGCGAGAACAGACCGGATTGGCCCATTGGTTGCTAGGTCGTTGCTACCCATAAATTTAGCTCCAGATTCCCGCCTATTGAACCTGCTAGCTCTAATCGTGTCCTTTACATTAGGTACCACTGAAGGTGTTGTCAGCACTCGGTTCTACAGTCTCTATGGAATGGAGTACATACATTTTGGCAGGGTGGCTGAGTGGATGGCACTCTCGCTTCTCAGCAAGAAGGTCCTGGGTTTGAATCCCAGTTGGAACAGGGTCTTTCCGAGTGGAGTTTGCATGTTCTCCCCTTGTCTGCGTAGGTTTCCTCTGGGTGCTCCAGTTCCCCCTACCACTGAACAACCATGCACAATAAGTATGAATGTACAGTAATGAGTGAGTTAATGGATGGTGCTTTGATGGACCAGTGTGTTCGGCGTCTCACTTCCGTCGTCACTGTGTGTGGAGAGAATGGAAAATATCTGAACTCTGAACATTGTGAAGCGCTTTGGATGACTTTGCGCTGTAAAAAATGCGCTATAAAATGAGTAGAAAATCCCCCCCAAAAAAACAAAATCATCTTACCAACTGATAGCATTGTCATAGGAAGTACAACAACAGAATACATAATACATAATATGTTTTCCTTCTTAATTCTACATTAACTATGCAGTGGAATTTCTGATATAATTATTCATAAAGCATGAACAATCCACTGTGAGTTCCTAGTCCAATCCTTTTTACAGCTCTACAGATGGTGGTTTATCCTGTTTTTGTGCCGTGTGTTATGCTCATTGAAAGCACTTATTATTACTGGAACGATTTCTGTGTTTCTCCTTTGGAACACTGTTTATTATGAATCTATCAGTAATTGTGTTAACTAGCCTACTTAGGCTGTAGGCCCGCCTCCCTCTCCAACAATTGTTTTTGGAGACACACCTTGTCTCCGCTCCGTTGTGGGTCCAGACAAACCCCCCGCTCCTCTCCGTTCTCCTTCTTCAATCACAACAACCACAAATATGCAGCGCGGCAGACGCCTGGCACACCTGGAGAGCGGGCCCCTCCTGCGCTCCTCACTGCAGATGTTTAGACAAGTTACACTTCATAAAGCCACAGCAACGACACAAACTATTTAATAACTCAGATATCAAAATTGCATGATAAATGAGCACTTGTTTGTGTAAGACAGTTTATTTCTATTTTGGCAAAAGGAATATAGAAATAGAAGCTAGTTTTATTCCTAAACTATACCCAGAGAAGTTTTAAACTCATAGGGTTTAGGATAGTAATTGAGTATTCTTGAGTATCGATTAATCTAGTGATCTATTCGATTTTTTACACCCTTAACGCATAATAATTTTGTATTGTTAGAAAAAACAAACAAACATTTCAAACTCATTTATTGTTAAATCAGAAACACGTCTGCGTAAAAAAGTGGTGGAGTTAGTTCTGTGCCGTTGGCCCCAAAATTATCTGAATAATTGAGGCAAAAGAATTGTAATCTGAGTTTTTTTGTAATCAATTAATTCCATGAATACATTCTAGCACAAATAGTTCCTACTGTGTTTCATGTGATGGGATGGTGTAAGTGTTTGCCAAACCTGATCTTCAACAGAAAATCACGTCTACCTTGTCCCTGAGAAACACAAGTTATTTGGAAATTCCTCCACGGTTTTATCTGGTTTATCATCGATCTAGACATAACACCATCTCTGTTTCTTGCGGGAGCTGTTTGTGTGATGTATATGGTGGATGGCATTCGTTTGATGATAACCCGTCGTGTACAGGCCCGTTCAACTTGCACACTTTTATCCACAGACCTGTACTTACCTTGTTCAAATGACATGCCTCACAGCTCACATACTCAAAAATATTTGTGTTAAACTACAACACATAAGGCCGACGTCAACAGGAAAGAGTTTTCAAATACAGTTGGGCTGTGCAGTCAAATGCTATTAAGATTTCAGAACACTCAGGGAATAGCATTTCTACATAATTCAAAGTCATATAGACATTGTTTGTTAGCTTGCCTTTCTATTGTATATACCCTATGCATTTTTATTGAGATTCTCCTTTAACCCTAAATGAGGACATCCTTTTAGTGGTACCTTTTAGTAAGTCTGGTAAAATAAATAAAAGGAGATTAGAGTAAACCCTGCAAACCTTAAGTCTCCACTTGGAACCTTTTAATAAACTCAGCCCTGTGCCATTTCCACTGTGGAAGAGCTGGATGAAGGATGGTGTTTGGAGCTCCAGCCGTCCAGCCACGAGCACAGTGTGTTTGCTCAATGAAATCCCACAGTAGTGCATTCGCTTAAGCCTGGGCCCTGGGAAAGTTTGTGAAACCTGTATTGATGCTCAGTGTGGTGGAAAGAGTATTGTCTGCCGGGCTGATCCCGAACGCACCGGACAGAGACGGGATCAGTGCCCTGGAGGAGAGGTCAGGGGCATGTCTCGCTGTGGGCATGTGCCGTGATTGGGGCGTAGATGGGAAATTATGATTGGTCTGATGTAATGGCAGATGTGGTTTTTTGAGCGAAGCTAAAGTTGATTTTGATTGACATAACAAGCTTTCTTGATTAGCTTACACATATGTTTGTACAGCCTGTTTCATATGATGTCAGCTTCTAACAAAGTTAGTCGCCGAAAGTCGCTGAATAAAGCGTTGGCCTGTAGTACGGTGGCTGCCCTTGGACTTGGCACAAACCAAAACCAGGCTCACATTTTTTCCCAGCATTCTTTTCTCTTATAAAAGATAACAAATCATTGGGCACCAGAAGTCTCTTGGGAAAGCGAAGGCCTCAAATGCAAAAACAGGATGGCTTTGGGAGGCTGTTTTGATCATGGCTGGTACATTTGTTTTACACTTGTCCAAAAGTTGGCAACGGTTGAGAGAGGTGAGACCTAAGAGGAAGCTTTAAATCTCCCTTGTTGTTTTCATGAAGGGACTTGAGGTGGTCAAAACTAAGGGGAAAGACCTTCGTTTGGTGCATCGGCTTTTGCGCAGTTCATGTTCGTCGCCTGGATATTGACAAGACTTCAGTCCCATCCCTGAGACCGCCTCTTTTCTTCCTGTTTCACGCCGGAGCACGGAAACGGCACAGGAAAAGGGGAATTCCGTGTGCTTTGGAGTGGAATGATGTACAAGAGCGGCGAGGTGTAGTCCAGCCATAAATATCATGTTTTCAGGATGTCAGTGAAGAGTTTTCTGATCTGACGCCCCTTCCTGCCTTTATCAATAATGTCACCGTGTCCAAGTTCAACACATTCCTGGAGAGTCAAACGAGATAATGTTCCATGGAAATCGTCAGAAGTTTAAAATAGGGGCCAAACTCGCACATGCATTCCCTGTGGGCATTTTTGACAGTCACTTCCTGTTGTTTGTTCTATGTTTTTGAATTACATGTGTTTTTTTTGTTTTTGTTCAGGTGGGGAGAGGCGAGAAAAGTTGATGGAACAGTTCAAAAATATTGGGTAAGGACATTTTTTTCTGGCTGAAAATTGTCATTGATTGTATGATTATAGTTATGCATATATTAGGGCTGTAAATAATAATGATTTTGATAATCAATTAGTTGGTTGAAAATTCACAAGGTTTAGATGCCGAAAGGTCAGCGAATATGGGAGTTTTTATACATTTGACTTAAACAAAGCCCCTAAACAAATACCCTCATGTCCTTCCACATAAAACCACTTCTCAGGAAGTTTAAGTCTATGTAAAGTAAAAAGAGTATTAATCATTAATCATTGTACCAAATGAGGTTGACATCTATTTAAATAGTTTGATTAAAGGGGATGTCAGCAACTTCAAGTGTATTAAGGACACTGCTTTAATGTATTTAAGTATTTTTCAACAATAATATATTCAAAACCTCCCCTTGGCTTAAAAACAACCTGTAAGATTTGCTGAAGGACAATAGTTAAACCAATGACGAGGAGTCTCGAGGATTTGAGATAATTTCATCCAATCAGGAAGCTGCAGGGGTGAGCATGGATAAATCTAACCGCACATGCTCACCCTTCATGCCCTTCAAAAAGTTTCCCTCTCTCTCTTCACAGTTTGAAAAGTAACTTTCACTTGTTACAGCCCTAGAGAATATAGTATTAGGCTTTATTCTCTCACTAATAATCCTCCACCTTTTTTTTTCTTTCAGATTGCTGCCAACTCTTGGGGGAAGAACTGGGGTGAAAATGGCTACTTCCGAATCGCCCGAGGTGAAAATGAGTGTGAAATAGAGGCTTTCGTGATCGGCGTCTGGGGCAGAATTACAATGGAGGACATGCACAACCACCACCACCATCGCAAGTACAAATAAAGAAGATATTTGAAAGAGACATTTACCTTACGCCACAATGACTGAGGAGAACTTTACCAGAACTGTGGATCCACCATGTTGCGGGGATACGGCACTTTCACACCTTATTACACTCTGGGGTTGCTACAAACTGCTCTTTGCCCCTTTAACATGTCAACCTTCACTGCTTCCTCTGTAACTCAATGTTTATTGCTCCACATACTACACTTTTTTCATCCTGAGTCTTTCTCAGGAACACCCTTCTTCAAAGCCCAGAGTTTAACAGGTAAAAAAGCACCATAAGTGACAGAAAGATAATTTAATATAAGTATTAGAGGCGGCCGAAGGTTCTGGCTTAATCTATAAAGCAGACAGAGGTGAGCCCCGGGGGGACAGCTCAGACAGGAGGATATTTGAGAGACAGATTGTTAGACACGAGACATAAAGCCATTAGGCACACCCAGGTCTAGTGAGTAACCTGATATAAAGTCAGATATGACCTTTGTGGCATCGGGACGTCATTCAAATACAAGCGCAGTTGTCTCTTTGGCTCAATTTAACACTCTCCATTGACTTAACTTTAGCTCCAGGCGGCAGTTTGTCACACTTACTGTAAGGAAGAAAAAGCTCCTGAGCACATTTAAAAGCACTGTTTTGACCACGAATCAACAGGGATGTCTTAAATACTCCACTAAACGTACCAATGTAATAAAATCCATGTAACTTAGTCCTAGGTCTGGTTCCAATCTATCTCTAGTTTTCACATGGATTTTTGGCACATCTTTGATCAGCTTTTTCAGAGTAAAAGAGAGAGGACCTCACTCAGCCAATCAGCTGTTTTCTGATAAGATAATGACAGTATGTTGTGGTCTGATTTGTTCACTAAAACAAGACTTTCCTTTTGGAACCAACAACATTTATGAAACAAAAGGTTTGGTACTCCATCTTTAATCAGTGTAATTTATAATGGCGCTGTCACAATCCTGGCTAATAAGTTTGTTCCAACTCAAACCCATTTGAATATCTTTAAGATGATGCAAGACGTTCACGATAAGCTTCACATAGCAATACAATTGTTACAGTTTAAAGAGTTGTATTATAATTTGTATTTTTGTATATACTGTTATGCTATGTTTGACCACCGCTGCTAAAGTCAATATGTTCATGTGTCACAAAATTTCAAGCCCATAATTTTCAGGTAAAAATAAAACTTACTGATTATTTGTTTACTAGCTTACAAACTATAAAGGCTATTGCTGGAAACATTTTCTTCCCTATGGCACAGCGTCTTAAGTTTTCATTGGAGAATAATTCAAGTCTCACCTGTATTATTACCACTCACTCACTGTAAATTATATATTGCCCCAACTTCAAAACGTCTTGTAATTTCTGTAAAGCATTGACTGAAAGGTGCCGGTTTCTCTCTTTCTTGTTTCTTGAGTTTTGGAGAGGCTGTGGGCCATTGCCACTCACATTTTTGCATGTAAATTATGGGATTTTGTGTGATCATTTTGAATGTTTTAGCTGTCACACCTTGTAAATGACGATGTCTTATATACATAACTCTGTGGTGCTTTTTAATATATAAATGTGACTCACGTATGGACCTTGATCATCATAGACTCTGACCAAAGGCACATCCTCAATATTTACAACCTCGGTTGTATTGGACCAAACTCAGTGGAAGTTCCATTATAAGTTAGCTGAAACATGGGAATCTGATGACATAACATTCAAAGTAGCGTTCAGCCACTCCAGCTGCATTTTTACATAACTACTTCATATCTACTGATTTATTTATAAAGATGTAAATTATATGCTTTTGTCTTCTTTCTGTTGTCAGTGATACGCATCAAATAAACTGTCTTAAAAAACGTTTGCATGTATTTGCTTCAAATGTGGTACAAAAGACTTGTTTTTATGCCTCTTGTGAATTAGTGTGGATTTTGCCGTGAGCCAAAATGGTCGATGTGTTGAGGGGTTAAAGCCTCTGGATGTGATGGACCGGACACAGTTTGCACAAGAGTCTGCTGCGTCAGCTTTAGAGAGAGCCAAACATCCATCTGTGGACAGTCAATGTGAATCAGAAAGTGGTCAATTAGACCCATTGGCTTCAGATTTCAGTGCTTTTATTTTTTCAGTTGAATACATGCACATTGGTCTTCTGGAAATAACCAATGCAGGCTAAACACATTAAATATCTCAATCATTATTGGAAAAATAAAAAATACCTTGAATTACATGACATATGATGATTTTGTTGTATACATGTATTAATGGCATGTTTCAAACTAAATTGGACAGAGATCAGAGGGCATAGCTTATTTATTGTTTATCCATTAGACAATTAGCTTAATCTACTAAGAAGACAAGATGGACCTTTCTAACTGTTTAAAGCTTATTATTTTGATTAACTCAAAAGGAGTGAGTTAAAGGAACATGTAAACAGTGTTGGGCAAGTTACTCCAAAAACGTACATTATTTAGTACTTGTTACTGTTATTTCAAAGTAATGTGTTACAATATTACTGTCTCTGAATTGTAAAGCATTACACTACAACTGCATTAATATGTTCAGCACATCTCTTTCTCTCCAACAAACTCATCTAGCCCATCTTGAGAATGTTTTATTCTCTGACCTAGCCATCTTCAACCAGAAAGTAAAAACCTTGAAGGCGGCTGCTATTGGCGTGGATTTTATGTCCTTTGCTGATCTCGCAGTGGCAAAGTATAAAGATAATACACAATTTCATTTTGTGTTAAAATGCAATGTTCAGCATGCTACTGACCCTTCAACCGATTAAACTGTTACACATTGTTTTTGGAATGCCTTACATTACTGCGTTACAGCAAAAAACAATACATTTCAGTAATTACATTACAGTAAGTACACTGCATATAAATCAGTGCCATAGTTTGACCCGTCTGTCTGAAAACACAGCCTCACAAACCTTTTCTACAATCATACTTGTGAGTATAATCACGACTTTGTGCTCCAGTGTGAGTTTGTGGGGCTGTGATGTGGTGTTATCAGCTCCACACCTGGCTGCACACCTGTCCTAAAGGTGAGAGTGGAGACTCCCGTCTGTTTGGAGAGGCGGCTTACTTTCATGGGTCTTATTAGGGAGAAAAGGAGCAGGTCCGGTGCAGAGCCGCTCCTCCCGAGGGAATGACCTTCACCTTGCATTCCTGCATCTGGTAAACTTTTAATGAGTGCTGGCCATGCTCTCCAAACAAGGGAACATACTTGTGAACGGATTTTCCACTGTGCATCTAGTGACGTACGCTGTAGTTAAAGCAGTTATGAGCACACTTCTCAGAATTTCAAAAGAGCAGGTGAATCCCAACTGCCGGAGCAGACACACCCTTATATAGGAGGGTGTTTGTGTAGTGGGGATATTTACATTATTGGGTTGTTTCAAATGAGAATCAATAATGTTGGTTTAGTAAACATGAACATTTTTGCTTGTTTTTCTGTAATGCTCTATAATGCTTTGCTCTTTGCTGTATTTGAAACATTGTGCTGCATTACTTAAATAATGTTTAACATAAATAATATCTATAACTGCAGAAATGTTATAGCTATTACTCTGGCACAGCTTTTTTTTTACTCCAAATTTAAAACAAATCAATCATAAGTCCTCTTATTATCACTCTAATGTGGAAAACTAATTGGCCTATGTGTGTTCAAATGGGTTCCAAATGATCCCAAAAATAGTGTTTTACTGAATCATCAGTTTGTCCCACAGAGCAGCAGCAGCAGCAGCAGCAGCAGATTGTTGGGGCCACTCTTCGAAGCAGGGACAGGATCAGCTCAACCTGTTGTGTTACATTTCTCTCATTGTTTTTGCGTCATGCACAAAGAGGATCATTTATTACACGACCTCTGCAGCCTCTCAGCTGATCACCCACAGGAAGTCCTTATTAAAGTGAAACAATCACAGTCCACAGCTCCACCCAGGAAGTGCCCTGCTCCAGCACACTCTTTATATGCACTTTGCTTGTCTCTTGAGCAAACATGTGGAAAAAGTACAGACCTGGGGGTGGACTGAAGAAGCGGAGAAGCAAAGAAACAGTTCAAAATGTTGCAAAGGAGATTTTATGCACTAATATTACAGTGATTACTAAAACTTTGGTTACCAACTTTTGGCTCTGAAAATAAATTACTAATGTTCTATATCTATCTAAACCAGAATTCAAATTGTATCTATTTTGTTTTTATTTATTTTGAAAAACAAGTACTAACAACTATTGCTTCTATTAATAGTTATGTTATTAAGTTATGTAGAGTATAAAAAGGGGGCTGAGGTATTCCTTTATTGAACAGGTCATGCTTACTACGCTTTTCTCCTTGGAGGGAGGCAGACTGTGTGTAGCTTTGATGTGAAAACAATAGTTCCGACTATCAGGACTTCCTGCATTATATTTTTCATAACACAATAAAGCTCGTTCCTCAGGGAAAATAGTTTGTTTGCTGTGACGTGTATAATAATGTTCTGTGTTTATGGAGAACTTTAATGAGTTTGATAATCACTGAAAACAAGCTCCACCCTCTTACAATTTTATTGATGTAAAATCTTATCATTCATGTGTATAACCAACAACTTATCAATGAAATTCACAAGTTGCACATTTGCAAGTGCTGCCATCTACTGGTGACTTTGTAAAATAAAACATAGTGATTGCCAAATAAATACTGAAATAAATATAAGAAAACATAGCAGAAGATATTATGAATCGCAAATACTTCTTTGGGCAAACACACACTTCATCTCTTATTCTGTCGATCAGTGCGTTCTTATCGTGTTTGCTCATTCGTCTGCCATTGTCCAGTTTTAAATGAAAATAACGCACTTTGTCTTGACTCAACGAGGGCCGTTACCTCTTCTGCACTCGCACATTCTGTAGGCACAAATGTAGAAAATACCTGCAGAAGCAAACAGAACATGGCATTAGAATAATCCAAAAGACACAATGTATGTATCAGAGCGGTTTGAGAATACATTAACTATGAATCCATTTCATTATTTGAATACAATAAAATATTTGGTCACACTTTAGTTTCGCCTTACTACAGCTAATTAGTGCATACTTCGTGGTTAATTAGCTGTTAATTGGTATTTATTAAGTACTTATCATTCCTTATTCTACATGGACTTAGTCAACATCTAACTAACTTATAACTGACACTTTACCATGAGGGTTTGGGTTAGCGTTAGGGTCAGGGTTAGGGTAAGGATTGGGATTGGGGCTATGGTTTGAACTAGGTTAGATTTATTAGCACTTGATTAGCTGTTAATTGGTATTCATTAAGCACTTACTAGTCCTTATTATACATGGTCTTATTCAACATCTAACTGACACTTTCCCATGTGTGTTAGGGTTAGAATTAGGATTAGGGCTATGTTTACAACATTGGTTAAGGTTAGGTTAGACTTAATAGCACTTAATTAGCTGTTAATTGGTATTTATTAAGCATTTACTAGTCCTTTTTCAACATCTAACTAAATACTAACCAACACTTTCCCATGTGGGTTAGGGTTAGGGTCAGGGTTAGGCTAAGGATTAGGATTGAGGCTGTGGTTAGGATTAGGGGATTAGTATGAGGGACATCCACATGATTGATAAGCAATTAGTTCTTGCCTGCAAAGAAGTTCATGAGCATGGCCACCCAGCCCAATATGTACGACCAGGAGAAGCGCCAGTCACCAAAACGTCTTCCCAGGAAATTCACCGTCACTCCAGTGTAGATCGCCATTCCCAGCAGAACAAAGAAAGCTGGAAAACAAAGCATGGATATTTGGGTTTACGTTCCACTCGGGATGCATGGTGATAAACGAGATCGTAAAGTGTGACTTACTAGAGACAAAAAACATGATTCCTGCAGCAAAGGAGCGGTTGAATCTCTCGAAAGAAGAGAAGTGAGAGAAAGACATGATGCCAGCGATGATCCCGGCAAAGCATGTCATCCCAGAGAGGATCATGAAGGCCCTGGTGGCGTTCCAGTACGCTGCCGGAAGCAAAGGGACAAGTTTAAGGCAAGTCTCTGATAATGTTAAAGCTGCGGGACCTAAATTTCAAAGCAAAGGAAATTAAAAATGTAATAAATCCAACCAAACTAGTTCCTCTCTCTCAAAACAGCTTGGCTTCCACCTGAATGTATTCTTTTTGTCCTCTGTCACATCTTTTTCAGACAGAGAAGATGAAAAATAGGACTACCCTCTTAGCCCAAAGCGTGAAATAGTGACTCACTGGGTTCTTTCTAGTTTAAAAAGATGAATTTTGAGGTCGGCAGAAAGAGTCTAAAAAGTTAGGTACCCCAGCTGTAAGTTTCAGTAAATATAACCTCATGGTTTAGGGCTATACAAGAATACATTTAATTGAACAAGTAGGCCACTAAACTGCAATTTGATGTTTAAATCCTAAATAAATATGACATTATTATTACAATCATGGTATAAAAGTAAAGTCGGACAATCTAGCAATACATTTGAATCTGGATAACACAGCAGACGACATCATCATGGGCTCCTCTGATCTTACCTATGCTGTCCGTCTGCATGTAGCACTTGTTGGCCATGCAGTACCTCCATAGTCCCTGGTGAGCGTAGTTGCCCGACAGTCTATATTGCATCCAGTAGTCGGTGGCCGTGCACACCACCAAAAGGATGTTCCCCACTACGGCACAGAAAAGGCCCCCTCCCATGAAGCTGTACATCTTGAGCTGAGACAACGGGCTCGCGGCAGAGTAACTGTTCAAAGAAATGTAGCAGTTAGTTCTTGTCAATGTTTCATCCAGAAGATTTTTCACAGTACCTTTTCCCTGATTGATGCATCATACAAGGACAAGCAACAAATGTTTATCTCGACCAGTTGTCTAAATGCAAAACTATTCTTACTGTTTTAAATTTTACACCCAAGCACCAGTAAATACAGCAATGTGTTGTGCCTTACCTTAGAACTAGAGCGCACCTCTCTGCTTTCCACCTTTCTGAGGCAAACACACACAGTGGAGTGACTAGAGAGCAGTTTCTCACTTGGACACAGACAATACTATGACCAGAAGTTGTCCCCCGAGCGTTTTTGCCGATCACAGCAGAATCCTTTGGGCTGAGAGCTGTGCCTGAATGAAGCAGCCCGGGCCCCAGTACATGTGATGCATGAGCACACAGAGCAGGGCTGGTCTATGTGACGTTATGCCGTGTTTTGTTTGTTTGTTAATAGTGTGCTCCAGAACTGGGGATGTGCAAAGGTTTGCAGGACACTGCCTTTGAATGCATCATGCTGAAATAGACAATATGCATTGAGTGACCCCATTCTGGGCAGGGACTTTACTGTTCCCTCCCCTTACTCTTAAAATGCATAGGCGACTTTCTTACTATATACTAACTTTACCTGGCACAATGTTTAAAAAGAAGAAAATATCAGTAGAACAGGACAGACAAACCGCCACTATTTCCCTGTGAATAATTCCCCATTATCATTTATAAATCATGATTATATTTTCTAATAAAATTCCTTATTAAGTTGAGAAGAAATACGGCATTTGAGGCTTTTGATTTTATTGACCTGTAAGTGATCAAGAAATAGGAGGTAAGGCTTACTTCACAATTATGATCCACTGTGAGTTAGTGGTTCTCAAAGCCTGGGTCACAGGACTCTATCTGAAGGGTGTGAGATGATTTTCCGCAGAACCACTACATTACATGTATGGATTATAAAAACATATATGTTTTAAGTTAACAGGATCATACTCTTCAGTGGTCGTGTCTGTTTAACATAATTTATACGTAGTCTTATTGACCTTTACTTCACCAGGATAGTAGAGTTTTTGTCTCCTCCATCACGCAGAGGTGATGGAGGCGCTTGTTGTACATGTTGATCAGGGGCGCTCAACACCCTCGATCGCGAAGGCAGGGCGGGTAGCTTGACCGAACAAAGTCTGAAGACAGTGGGCCAGCGCGCAGGGAACAGTGCCGTTTTCCTCCTCTGTGTCGTTTGCATACGAGCGGCGGCTGCGGTGGCTGCGTCAAACCACGTGACTGTTGCTCAACGCGTTTGACACATCATGGATCTATGGTTTGACACATGGATCTATGGTTTGACACATGGATCTATGGTTTGACACATGGATCTATGGTTTGACACATGGATCTATGGTTTGACACATGGATCTATGGTTTGACACATGGATCTATGGTTTGACACATGGATCTATGGTTTGACACATGGATCTATGGTTTGACACATAGATCTATAGTTTGACACATGGATCTATGGTTTGACACATGGATCTATGGTTTGACACATGGATCTATGGTTTGACACATGGATCTATGGTTTGACACATGGATCTATGGTTTGACACATGGATCTATGGTTTGACACATGGATCTATGGTTTGACACATGGATCTATGGTTTGACACATGGATCTATGGTTTGACACATGGATCTATGGTTTGACAGCGCATCCTCAAAACAGTACTAGCGCAAGGTGTGAGAGTTTCTGGCAAATACTATGAGCACTTTGCAGTTATAAGTTACATTATTTTTTGTATTAACACGTGGATTAATGTATCGTTTTGTTTACTCCTTTTATAGAGGTTCCACTGCCGTTTGGCCTTTTAATTTTTAATTTTAACAAGCATTTATATTCTGCCGACAAAATGTGAATAAAGACGGCATGGTCATAACATGCATCTAAAATCTAAAACGGTTTGTGACATCTCTCGAATCAATCAATCACCAATCAACTTAACCAAATAATCCATTATAAAAAATATGCATTTGCACCCCAGGCATAGCTAAACGTGGGCGTGTGTCTGCCTCGTTCTCGTTGGTCATCGGAAAGATAAACTGCAGATAGATTTTAATTTAGTTTATTTTATCAAGACGTTTGTTCTGAAAAGTAGTGTGACCTTTTCTAACCCGGAAGCTGACGCAGACTGAGCTGTTCCATCGGGGGAGTAAAGATGGCTGACCAAAGCGCCGCAGATCCTGGAAATAACAACAATATTAAACCCGAGGCTTCAGAAGGAACTATCATTAAGGTTACAGTGAAAACACCAAAAGATAAAGAAGAAATCGCCATCGCCGATGATGCCTCTGTCACACAGGTGCGTCTGTTTGAAGGCTGTCTCTCCGCGACATGCTCAACGTCATGCTGCTGCCCACAACTTCAGAGCTGGGCTAGTTAGCACTGTTAGCACTGTTAGCATGTTTCATCACTATTACCGGCTTACACTAAGTGCTTGGGGTTAAGGAGATCGCCCGTTATCAAATTATTATTGCTTATCCTGTTAGTCTCTGACATTTTACCGCGCTTAAATAGATCGAATCCAAATGTTAGAATGTGAAGCATATTTTATGTCGCTAGCTAATGTTAAGTGGCTACAAAGCTAATGCTATCACTGGCTAGCTTTTTACGAGTCGCCCGACAAGTCGCTAGCAGGCTACAGGCTAACGTAGCTAAACAAGTGTCAGCTGATGAGCTGCATATTTGCGACTTGTGGTTTGTCAGATTGACAAGGTTCTTGAAAAGCCAGACTGTTATTGGTGTTTGGTTAATTTCTGCTAAATAAATGCATCGCTAAACCTGGTAGTTTCTGGAACATTCTGTCTGCCTGAGTCATTCCGTTTCTGAAGAGGGAATAAAATCCCCAGGGTCATTGTTACTGTGACAACTCGGATCTGCGTTTTGGTCTCTGTAATTCTGTGTACACTAACTTAAATACAAGTTAACTGAGGCATTCGTGTATTGATCCTTAACTAACTTACTAAACTGTGCCCTATATATGTGTCATACACACGTGCATGAACCTGGATGTTGAGTAATCAGACCTATGTTTATTGTAACAAAGGAGGCCAATGTTGGCCCCTGTTGAGTCCTTGAGGACGTCATGTAGTGTCTGGAGGAAAAAATACATTAGTAAGGCTCAGGTCAGTTAATTCTACATTTCAAATGTTCAAGATTAGTTTTAAAATGGTGTGGACAACGGATTTTGTGTGATGCATTGTGTAACAGAACATTGGATTGCTGTCTTCCCTGAATTTGTAGAAGAAATAAACATGTCTATTTTTACAGTTTAAAGAAGAGATCTCAAAGCGGTTCAAAGCCAAGCAGGATCAGTTGGTCCTGATTTTTGCAGGGAAGATCCTGAAGGATGGTGACACTCTTAGCCAACATGGTATCAAGGACGGCCTAACTGTTCATTTAGTTATAAAAACGGTCAATAAGTAAGTGTAATAAATGCCAGTATTCGTATCCGTTTCTTCTTATTCAAACTGTCTAAAAAGATGTATCTATTTCACATAACTTTTGAAGATCTGGAGAAAGTAGTACACCAGCTTCAAGCTCCTCTAACACCTCAGCAGGCACCACCTCCACCACCAGTCCAGGAACAAACCCCTCTCCGGCAACAGGATCTTCAGGCTCTGCCCCTCCACCAACACAGACCCCCAGCATACTGAGTAAGTTGCGCTGTTTTGTAACAAAAGCCTTGTTCCGATTTTAAAACTTTCATTTAAATTATTGTGTATGTGTTTATTGTAGCTGGCTTTGGAGATCTTTCTAATTTGGCTGGGCTGGGAATGGGTTCGGCTAATTTCATGGAACTGCAACAGCAAATGCAGAGGCAACTGATGTCCAACCCAGAAATGTTATCACAGATCATGGAGAACCCCCTGGTTCAAAATATGATGTCCAACCCAGATCTCATGAGACAGATGATCATGGCCAACCCACAGATGCAGCAGCTGATGGAACGCAACCCAGAGATTTCACACATGCTCAACAACCCGGAGCTCATGAGACAGGTCTTGTTTTGTTTGTTTTTTACTTTAGATGGCTTAGTAGTTTCTTTATTTTTGTTGTGTGCATGTGTTTGTCATTGTAGACTATGGAGTTGGCCAGAAATCCAGCCATGATGCAGGAAATGATGCGGAACCAGGATAGAGCTCTTAGTAACTTGGAGAGCATCCCCGGTGGTTATAATGCGCTGCGCAGGATGTACACAGACATTCAAGAGCCCATGATCAGTGCAGCTAGGGAACAGGTTCACAAAAGTTGATATATTTATTTACATTGGTATGTTTTATTTTCATTGTCATTAACAGTCTATTTTGTTTTTTTAAAGTTTGGGAATAACCCATTTTCAGCTCTAAGTGGAGGATCTGAATTTGGAGTTCAGCCATCAAGAACAGAGAACCGCGAGCCACTGCCCAACCCTTGGGGGCCACCAAACACATCGACCACAACAGAGAGTGGCACTTCCACAGCAACTTCAAGCTCAACTGGCACCAACCCCTCTGTGTCCAACCCTCTGGGAATCAACGCCTCAAGTCTCGGCAATGGTCAGAAGAGTAAAGATACTTCCTACTATAATGTTTATTTTGGTCATTTGAACAATTTGTGGTTTTCAGGAATGTTTAACAGCCCAGGGATGCAGAGTTTACTGCAGCAGATCTCTGAGAATCCGCAACTGATGCAAAACATGATGTCTGCTCCCTACATGCGCTCCCTGATGAGCTCTCTGTCTCAAAACCCAGATGTGGCCTCTCAGGTGGGGACAACTCTATACTATATTTTAAAGTGAATTTTAGTGAATACACTCTTCAAGAGTTCTTGTTGTGCAACTCTCACAAGGGGCTAACAAACAAGGTCATTGTGTCTGAAGCTAAACAGTTCAAGCTGCGAACTGTACCCACACTTATACATGTATATTTATTACACCTTGTTCTTGTAACATTTTCAGGTATTGATGAATAACCCTTTGTTTGCTGGAAACCCGCAGCTGCAGGAACAGCTGAGAGCTCAGCTGCCAATCTTTCTTCAACAGGTACTACACTCATCTCCACTATTTTGCTTGCTTTTATCCTCACCACCTTACTTTAGTGAGTACTATTTTATTCGAACGCACATTCTCTAAGACACTTGTTGCATTCTTCATTCAAGATGTTGTTGTAGCCACAGCTGCCCAGGGTCAGACAAATGTACAGGAGCAGGGCTGCCATACAGGGGGTGCCCTGCGGTGTACCCTTCAACCACTTTAATCGATTCTCTCACTCATCAGAATTGCGAGGCCTCTACCTGAAGTCTGCCTGATACACTTAGAAGAAGATTTAGGGCAAATTCACAACAAGTTATTCTTGCCTGGGCCAAACTATTCCCTCAGTCAATCTTTCCCTTTACACCCAAAAATGGTCTAATATCAAACACCCTACACCCAATTGCTGGGGTGTTAGAGGAGCATGAAGCTGATGTACTACTTTCTAAATATCAGAATCCATTTTACTCGTCTTCTTAATGTGCTTGAATGTGATTTTACTGTGGATAATTTAAATGAGACCAGCGCATCTTAAGCTTGTTACATAGATGACTATGCAGTATAACCCATTGAGGCCGGGAACGCATTCCCGCATTTCTACCTCTCGAGCCAGAAGCGCCGTTGCATACTTCTACCTTTTGAGGCCGGGAAAGCAGACACGTCTGTTAATCTTTTTTGACCAATTCTCTTCATTGGTCAACTCTTGACCAATGAAATGCATCAGGATATACCAGGATGAGAAATTTCTGCGGACCCGCAAATTACGCTTTTTACCAGCTGAATGTAATTTCTGTAAAATGTGTGACCGCGGGCTGTTAACGTTACGTACTCCACGGGATTTCACATATTTCGTTCTTGCCCCGGGAGAAACTGTGGCCACTTTGTAACGACAGTCGCTCAGCGAACACGCAGCCGTAATGTGGTACCAAGCGCGGACAGGACGATAGACGTGCGTACAGGAGGACCATAGACGTGCGTACAGGAGGACCATAGACGTGCGTACAGGAGGACCATAGACGTGCGTACAGGAGGACCATAGACGTGCGTACAGGAGGACCATAGACGTGCGGGCAGGAGGACCATAGACGTGCGGGCAGGAGGACCATAGACGTGCGGGCAGGAGGACCATAGACGTGCGGGCAGGAGGACCATAGACGTGCGGGCAGGAGGACCATAGACGTGTGGGCAGGAGGACCATAGACGTGCGGGCAGGAGGACCATAGACGTGCGGGCAGGAGGACCATAGACGTGCGGGCAGGAGGACCATAGACGTGTGGGCAGGAGGACCATAGACGTGTGGACAGGAGGACCATAGACGTGTGGGCAGGAGGACCATAGACGTGCGGGCAGGAGGACCATAGACGTGCGGGCAGGAGGACCATAGACGTGCGGGCAGGAGGACCATAGACGTGCGTACAGGAGGACCATAGACGTGCGTACAGGAGGACCATAGACGTGCGGACAGGGGGACCATAGACGTGCGTACAGGGGGACCATAGACGTGCGTACAGGAGGACCATAGACGTGCGTACAGGAGGACCATAGACGTGCGGACAGGGGGACCATAGACGTGCGGACAGGGGGACCATAGACGTGCGGACAGGAGGACCATAGACGTGCAGAGAAGACCATCCCCAGCTTGTTGCCCGTGCGGGTCATGCTAGTCTTCCCCATGTCTCCTCCCAAAGCACAACCAAAACTCACTGAGGTACCTAAATTTTGCATGCATTGACAATGCATGTTATTTGTGCACAAAAGTGAAATGTTGTGAACAGAACAAACCACAACAGTCTTGTTTTTCATTTTTGCTTACTTTAGAGCCCTGTGAGTAATTATTTGACTTTTTGGGCTGAGAGTGGAGGTAGTGCCAAACTCTTGTTGAGGTATTGTATTGAGAAATATGTAGAGGTGCACCGATCAGGATTTTTTTGGCCAATACCGATCATTGCCGATCCGATCAAATATTGAAAATATAAAGTGATAAATGAATAGGACTAGTTATTCACTTTATAACTAATCTTTCAAAACCATCAAGGTACTAGGTAATATAAATAAAATGCCTATAGGATACTCAAGACAAAAAGGTTGGGAACCACAAGTATATGTTAAAGTATTGAGATACAGCAATACTGTACATGCTGCATTTCTAAACTGATTAAAAAGAGATAGTTAAGGCAATGTTTTTTCTTCAGTAATATTAGCATCTCAGCATTTGCAGGGGTTTATTACGTTTATCATCCTGAATAGTCCCGCTGCGCTTAACTCGCACTTGTGCATGGAGCGCAGAGGAAAGCTTACGCTGCTTTGGCCAAAGGAGGGAAGCGCCTTTTTTTTTTTTTCTTCCAATAAACAAGCGGCTGTCTGCTCTGATGCGCAACTACGTAGTAAGTAACGATAAATCTGCGACACTGTAGGACTGTCTGTACTACCACTACACTCATCTTAATTCAATATTTCTGTGAACATAACTTGCAAACTCCTGATACGGGGTGTTTCTGCGTAACGGCAGCGTCTCGCTGCTGAGTGTGTTCGGTGTGTGTGCTGTGTCTGCGCGGTGTGACTCTGGCTCGTTAATAGATCCATGCTCTGGAGTGTCAATGTGAGAATATACATTTTGGTAAAGCTGCGACAGGCACACATCAGTCAGATATCTCCGCGATGGCAGATTGAAGCAGTGGACATGAGTCATTTGAACCCAGCGCTTTCCGCAACAGACAAGCGCTGGTGGCAGAGGGGAATAAATGACATAACTTTCGTTCATATTTCGTGTTCTTTCTAAAGGGGCGTTCACACCGGACTTAACTTCGGCGTCAAAAGCGTCAGGTTTCCATTGAAAGTGAATGGTGAAGCGCGTCAGGTGAAGCCGAGAGCCCCGGCGTCACTTGACGCACGTCAAAAGCTTCAAGAGTCGCGCGTACTACGCGCTCACTTGAAGCTTTTGACGCGCGAAACGCTCGCGTATCACAACAATCCCTTTGACGCCGAAGTTGAGCAAAGCTGAGCTTTTGAAGCTTTGACGCGGGCTTCAACCAATCAGGAGACGAGGAGCAGCAGCAGCAGAGGGTCTGTCTCTGTCATGAAGAGAAGTCATGTATCTGCTGCTGTTTTATTGTCATTATTGTTATTAGTAATATTATTTGTATGAGTAGTAACGTTCTGAGTAACAAAAACCATTGTACACATGCTGTGTAGTAAACCTAGTTTATTTAAAATAAGAACAGGCTGACGATGGGTCTGGCTCAGAGCAAGGCAGCTCCGGGCGGGCGAGAGCCGGGGAGAAGCAGGGAGAGGCGGGCGAGAGGCGGGCGAGAAGCAGGGAGAGGCGGGCGAGAGCCGGGGAGAGGCAGGGAGAGGCGAGAGCGAGGCGGGGAGAGGCAGGGAGAGGCGAGCGAGAGGCGAGCGAGAGGCGGGGAGAGGCGAGCTCCGGGGTTTGAGAACTGTAATGAGTTTTTAGAGTAATCACATTAAAACCAGCCGCAGCAAATACACGGACGTAAAAGGCATTTTCAATGCAGAGACGACCTTCTGACGTCATGCTGAGCTTTGTGAAGGTCCCTGCTGTCTGTCACACCCTTGTGTCTTTCGCATCTCGCATCTGTATGCTTGCATTTCTACCATTGTCTGTCTGTTCGCACCTCCATGCCCTGTGTCTGATTGCCTCACCACAGGGGCATGGCGCCTGCGCTCCCTATGCGCCTCCTTCACCGGTGGCCCCCTCCCATCTGTTGTGGGCGTGACGGTCTTTCTATGTAAACAGGAAGCCTGAGCTCTGCGAGCCAGAGCTGGGTATGCTGCCTTTTGGATATGCTAGCTCTCCGCACGTGTGTTACAATAAACTTACGCTCCTGATTTAAGACAAATACTTTTGGGCTTTCTCCTTGCTTTGGGGTATGTAATTCTATAACAGAACTCAGACTGGGCGAGTGACATGCGGAAGTACCGCTGAAAGCGAAACTCCTCCGTACGCAGCTCCTGGAGTAAATAACGGAACTCTGCAAACACTGCAGCCTCTCAAGTCTGTGGTGAACCCAGAACATGTTTTGTTGAAGCCCTACAACAACGTTATTTTGCTTTATATAACAAATAAAGGCTCGCTGCTCATTGAAAAATCCACCGCTGTCCTGACTACAGGCAACAGAGAAGCTCCTCCCACCGGCGTCAGGCGCGTCACTCGCGTCAAAAGCTTCAAGCACCAAAATGACAAAACTATCCCGGCGTCAGTTGAAGCGCGTCAAAAGCTTTTTGAAGCTTTTGGTCTGAACGCGCCTTTACTGTGTGGTTGTTGCCGCTGTAGAATCTCCGTTACTGATAGCTGCATGAGTTGCTTGTTCACGCAGTTTTGATGAGAGAACGTAACTTGTGCGCATGAATCCTCATGTCATCTGATCGGTCTTTGTGATCGGCACATTTCACCGATCACACAAATTTAACCGTGATCGGCCGATTATAATCGGCTACCGATCGATCGGTGCACCCCTAGAAATATGTGTTATTCTCACATTATTTTTGGTTGTTTTATTATCTTTCCTGTGTGGGAGTTGTATAGTTTTTGTATTATTCTACTGAATAATACTCTCCATTCCTATTGAAAGCCACGTGTTAGTTCTTAAATTATTTTGGAATTATGTTTCTATCTGCTACACAGGCTGAGATATCAATCATTTAGTAGACTTTCAGAAAAACTTCAGGTTTTAGAGGGTGATTCTAAAGTCACCCCCTTTAAATGTATGTTTTACCAGGTGTGTTAGGCCTAAATTGGTAAATTATTACTAATTTAATTGTTTTTTTTGTATGATGAATCATTTGTCAAAAGAAAGTTTTTACCTATTTATTTAACATTAAAACCCATTGAGCTTCAGAATTTGTTTGTCCTGGTGAAGGTAATGGCCAACACAATACAGAGTCAAGTATAATAACAAAAGAAGTCCATCCATCCATTTTCTTCCCCTTAATCCATTTCTGGGTCGGGGTAGGGGCAGTCAGAGCTTCACCCTATTCACATAGCACCAGCCGAGAGAAATCCATCGCTCTAAAGTTTGTTACTTTGGTATTTAGTAAGTACTAGGTAGCTCAGTTACAAACAAATTAACCTTCTGTTTTTGTTTTTCTTTCTGCATTGTGTATTTGAGTTAAAATTCCTTGTGTGTTTCTTTCAGATGCAGAATCCTGAAGCTTTATCAGTGATGACTAATCCCCGGGCCATGCAGGCCTTAATGCAGATCCAGCAGGGTCTGCAAACGCTTCAAACAGAGGCCCCTGGACTCATGCCCAGGTAAGGGCTATGGCTCAGATGTTTACCAGAAAAGTGTAGTTTTGTGAAGTCTACAGTTTAAACACATGCGCAGATTCACGTGCCATGGTGAGGAACTCAATTCGTTATATGTGTTAAACAAATTCTACCTTCTTTACACAGCGCCCTGTTCTTTTTGGTTTACTACACGCCTATTCAAGTCTCAGATTCTCTGAAAGTCACTTGATGAAGTAGATTACCTAACGCTTGTTTTGTTTCAGTTTGATGACTGGTGGCATTCCTGGTGTTCCGTCTGGCGTCCCTCCAGGAGCCCCGTCTAGCGTCCCGTCTAGCGTCCCTCCGGGTGTCCCTCCGGGTGTCCCTCCGGGTGTCCCTCCGGGTGTCCCTCCAGTCCCATCAGGGGGAAGTGGCATTACCACAGAAAACCCAGCCTCTTCTCCCACTAGCACAGGACCGAGCAGTGCCCAACAGCAACTGATGCAACAGATGCTCCAGATGTTTGCAGGAGGCGTTGGAGGCGCAAACCCAATGGTACTTTCTCACAAACATGATCAATCATGTGCACAGGGTTTTTAAAGGCTTTATTCTAAGTGTTGTTTATTATTTGTGTGTTGTAGAGTGTGACCCCAGATGTTCGGTACCAGTCCCAACTGGACCAGTTAAGTGCTATGGGATTCATCGATCGTGAGGCCAATCTGCAGGCCCTTATTGCTACTGGTGGAGATGTCAATGCCGCTATCGAGAGACTGCTGGGCTCATAGCCTTCATAAAGATTCTCTGCCCATACTGACCCGCATATACACACACAACACACTCAGCATCTACTGAGAAATCAAGAGAAAAATCAGACCAATCCCCTAATCATTACAGAAGAAGCGGGCAGGATCCTCACCATGCTAATTCTGGTCACATACAACACTCTCATTTTCTCTTTGGAATCATCAAAAACTGTCCCTGAGAGGTGTAGAGCCGGACTGAACCACTCTCACATCGAGGGGTGGGAATGGAGCCAACCCATCTCCCGTCTTTGGACTACTACCATTTCTTCCTTTTACTTTGTTCCCATTTCTTTCTAAACAGGGTGAAGTGTTGTTTAAACACTGAGCTGGTGGAGATTTTGGCAGATGTGACTGTGGTAATTACTGCACCAAACCACTGTGAGGCAGTAGTTAGCATAGATGTAGACGTGTTGTGGAGGTCTGCTTGTATGAAGGGATATATAAAACACACAGGTGATTTTCTCGGACATTACTGACCTTACCCCTTCAGTTATGATATACGTTTCCTCTTCTCTTGAGATTTTGCAAACCGTTCACTATTTATTATAAATGCTTTGGGAATGACACCCCACACTTTCTTTGAGTTATCTGTCATTCCATACAAAGTGCCCCTTGAGGGTACCCAGTGTCTTTCTCGTCTGAGGCACTTTAGCTGTGCCTTTGGTTCTCCTGCCCATAGACAAGCATCACGATTGGCATTCCCTTCATCATTGAAAAGATGTGTTCCAAATAAAGATTATACAGGATGCACAAAATTAAAGAGAGCTTTGAGAATGACTACGAAATAAAAGCTTTCTTTTAATTTTAATCTGATCATTTATTTTATCATTTTCTCGAGGTGCATTTAGTACCTATTACCTAGCAAATATTTACAAATTTTCTTGCTTTAAATAAAAGTCAAAATCAAACAAGTATAATATTGAAATGTTAAACAATTCTGGTTTACAAAATCAGCTTATAGTTTGGTTTTACTTTTTTTCTTTTGAATTTCAGCAGTGTAGTTGTGGTAACCTTGGCAACTGCGTCTTTAGCTTTGCTTTGTCTGTTGACCTCAGCCGAAGAGTCCATCTCCCAATTGAACATGTTGAAACTAACTTTTAACAGTACTGTACTAAAAATAAAACTTGATCAAAAATGACTTGCGCGTCTGTATTTTTGATCAAATTCTTGAAAATGGTATTTGATTAGAAGTTGTCTTTCATTGATTGCAGGCCATGACTTTAATACCTGACTATTTACAAAAGCGTTTACTTTACAGCAGGATGTAATCACTTATTTCTGAATGTACGTAATGTAACTGCAGATGGTTGCAACATGTCAAAAATATTGCAACCAAGTTTCGCCTCTTGCTCCTTTTTCCATTTGAGTTCTGAATTATTCGAATAATCATGAACGTGCCAAAAAGTAAACAACATGGTTTTATGAGGGTTAAGTTAAGAATTAACTGAGGGGTTACTTATTATTCAGAATGTGACTTCTATTTTCCATATCTTGTTTGTGTCAATTATTTGTATGCGTCTGATTACTCAAAAGTAACACACCATAAATTGCCTGCACTAAACCGGAAAAAAACGCTCTTTGCTCTATACAATCATGTTTTACTCGTGTTATAGCGAGGTCAAAATGGCTGCACCTGCCTGTGGAGCTCTATTGTCATACAAATGAATAGAGGCTGTAAGCAGAGAGCAGAGGGTGGAGTCCCAGATCTGGATCACTGTGGTTTTACCTGTTGTACCTGCTCCCTCTCCCCCTCTCAGTCTCTCTGTCTCTCCCTCCTCCCGTCCCGCAGGTATCAGCTGATGAGGGTTCGGTTGGCCACAGTTCCCTGCCTTTACCTGCCTGTTCACTTTCCTGGGCCGAATACACGTATAAGGAAGACGGAAGGAGCGGCACTGGTGGTGGGTGCAGCTGGACCTGTTATTGGACTCCATTTTCACCTCTCTCCAGGACACGGTGCACACAGGAAGAGCCACTGGCCATATTTTTTTGTTTTGGACAGAAACTCAATAGTGGCCACATATTTGGGCCTCCTAGGAACACAACATGAGTTCAGATGAATCATACAACTTTGTCTTCAAAGGTGAGTACAATGATCACTGATACAAAGTGCATTTACATGAACGTAAGACCATTATATTCAGCTGAGTTAGTAATGTCTGTCATATCAGAAGTGATGGTTCAGGTTCAAGGAAATGGTTATTGTTCAGGGCTTAAAATCCATTCACAGCTATGGGCATATTTGAATTAAAACACAATTTTTATGTAGCTAAACCTGTTTCTCATGATAACAACTATCATTCCTGCCATTCCATAGTGTGAATGCAGGCTCCATGTGCCACGTTCATCTGATTTACGCTCCACCTTCATTGCAAAATCTTCATTCATTGCTTCATCTAATGGTGTAATTGTCTGGACTTGTTAATCCAATGTCTTGTGTTGCACTGTCTCAGTTGTTTTAATAGGAGAGTCAGGAGTAGGCAAGAGCAACCTCCTGTCTCGCTTCACCAAGAATGAGTTCAATCACGACAGCCGCACTACAATTGGAGTGGAGTTCAGCACCCGCACCGTCCAGCTGGATAACTTCACCATAAAGGCACAGATATGGGACACAGCAGGACTAGAGCGATACAGGGCCATCACCTCCGCGTGTGTATTCCCCACAACACACACACGTCATTCTTTGTTCAGACAACACATGCTCATAAATGTGTATCTGTGTTCAGGTATTACAGAGGAGCAGTGGGGGCCCTTTTAGTCTATGATCTAAGCAAACATTTGACTTATGAGAGCGCAGAACGGTGGTTGAAGGAGCTGTACGACCACGCAGACCCGCATATTGTGGTGATGTTGGTGGGGAACAAGAGAGATTTGGATACTCTCAGGACTGTCCCGACCGAGGAGGCGCGGGACTTTGCAGGTGAGTGGGTGTACTACCTTTTGAGGAAATCAGATAAGGATTTTCACTTGGCCACTAATCCAATATTTACTCAAACTCTCTTTGTTCCAATCACTGCAGAGAAAAGAGGCCTCATGTTTATGGAGACCTCAGCGCTGGACTCCACAAATGTTGAAGATGCGTTTCATGAAGTGCTCTCAGGTATTTGTTTTTACTCCTACTATCTGATAATAAAAGGGCATGTTGGAGGTAGTTTGTGGCACAATGAAAAGGCAGAGAATATATACAGGAAGTGAAAGGAAGTTCTGTAACCCCTATACTTATCTCAAGGCATTCACATCCATCCAAAATGCAGAAATAATTGATAATGATTAATAATAGAGTAATTATAAAGGGGGCGATGGGCTCAGTCGGTAGAGTGTCTGCTGTCGTTGTGTCTGGGCAAGCCGGACCCTCGCTGAAACTCCAAGGTTGTGTCATCTCTGACAGAGCGGCCGTCCTGCAGGTGCTATCGTCCTGTGAACATTAGGTGCCAGCTTTGATTGGGATGAAAATGAATGAATTAATAATTCAGTTAACATTGTAGTTTACTCGAGACCAAAACACTGAGGAGGTAAACTACAACCGAAGCTACTGGTGGCTGAAAATTTGATATTCTAAGAATATTCAATTATTACTAATAACTTTCAGTATTGATGGTTATGGCTTTACTAAGCCATGTTTTACATCATATTTTTTTTCTCAGGAAAACGACCAAACATTTTTACCCAACACATCATTGAAGTTAAATAGTTAGATTTAAAACAATATGTTTTACTTTATAATTTATCCAGTTTTGGTTATATATATGGTAATATAAATCAAACACATTTTGTAGAAACACAGATTTTATAAGAAAAGAAAATTCTAGTTTATTATTCTATTATAAATAATATTATTTGACACCCCTGATCTAGTGAATGGGAAGGATGTGTTTTGCCTAAGGACACAACAACAGTTCAGCATCAGCAGCTAAACTGGAACAACAGCCTCTGATGTTCAGCTGGTCCCAACACTCTCCCAATCAGCTTAACCGCTCAAACGTTCAATTGATAAAGTAAATGTATTGTATTTCTACCCCATGACTTCTAGTATTGAGTAAAATAAATTAGTGTTGGCTTACAGTCAAATCTGGAATACAAGAACCCATGTTAAATGAACATTCTCCACATTTCTCTCCACAGCCATCCATAAGAAGGTAGCCAGCAGAGAGGTCACCCGTGGCTCTATCAGCGCCGTAACCCTCTCCGGACCGATTAGACCAACAAGCCAAGGTCAAGAGGAAAAGAAGTCCTGCTGCAACAGCTCCTGATGGACTGGACAAGTGCCAAATGTAAAGAGTGATTCACCCAGATCCATGTCTTCACTTGTAAAGGATCAAAAGGACTTTGGGAGGTGCTCGATGGAAACCATGTGTTGTAATGTTGAAATAGTAGAAGGGCACAGTCAGATAGACTTTGATTTTTATGGTTTTATATTTTGGATTTTAAAAAGCATGCACTGGGATTTACTTGCAATATATTATTTATAATGCATTTGTGTACTTGATTCATTGCAACAAAATAAGTTATTTGTCCGTTCAAAACTCCATAAAAAAACATTTACTATTCTCCTTATACTAAACCCAAAATGTCTTTATGCCAAATTAGAAATGGGATTGTATCAACCTCCATTTTACATTTCCCAGACTGAAGAAGTATTTATAACATTATTGATGGTGTGGATTAAATTTGGCAAAAGTTTAGGAATATTTAAATTTATTTCATTTTAATTTCCTTTCTTTATACAATTATGTAAAACACACTTACTAAAACACACTTACACTCTGTAAAACACAACTTACAAACTGTTTCTCAGAGTTATGTGTGAAGATTACATTTCAGAGAGTGCATTATCTTGCTGATGTCCTGATTTGAAATGGCACTTGCCTCCCGTTTTACTATATTTATAGATATACAGTCTATATATATACATTTTCCATTAGATTGTCTCACTGTTGTTTCAAGGACAGCGCTTTTTTAAAGTTAAACTCAAAATGAACTTTCACTGATTTCCCTGTAGATGGCAGTGCAGCCATAATTGTTTTCAATCCAACCATTTAAAAGATATTTTTTATTATTCTCATTAAAAGAATCTTATATATGTGTCCCCAAACAATTGGTCACGTGTACAAATCTTAATTAGCCTTTTCTGTTCAAAAGTTTAAATAAAAAATACAATAGACATGATGCAAATTTACAAATCAGAGAGCAGAATGGGGCTCTCGTTTGGGTTCCCATTCTGTTAGCCTCTAAAACTAGCTACATTTCACCTAACTTTTGTCTTCTTCTTAAAACAACATTCAAACAAAGAAACAGCACCACACAAATTGAAATTAAACCAGGTATGAAAAGAATGACTGTAGTCGTACTTCACACAGACAGTTAAAGTAAAGTAGTTGTATAATGCTTTTCATGATACCCAGATGCTTCATGCCATTATTCATTGACAGCGGTGATAAAAGACTGATTCAGTCACAGCTGCCCTGTGCACAGCATGGTCACTAATCTGTGCCATTGGCCCCTCTGCATCAACAGTCATCATCTACTCTCACTCACCAGACCTGCCTAAAGCACTTTACAGCTGCTCCACTGTGGCACCAGGTGTTCCCAGTGGTCTCCCATCACAACACTAACCAGACTCTTTGCTTCTCAGATGTGACAGGATCAGGGTCTCGCATGCAGGTGGGGTCCACCAAGATCTTTTCAAACTTCCTGAATAAAGTGTCACTTGACCAATATACTCAAAATTACCAGGTTTTGTCCCACCAAGAAAAGCAGTATATTCTGTAAAACACCTTAATAAACTCCATAAACCTGTAAATTTGACTATTATAGCTGCGTCTTTAGACTAATGTGTTTTTGAGCATTAGCCCAGTGCGACAGAGACATCAGTGTTCTAGAATCTGAAATAAAGCCGTTACATATTCAGACCTGTCCCATGGGACAGGACTGGATTTATCAGAACGGTCACTGTCTCGAGCAGCGAGCAAAAGCACCTCCTCTTCTCGTCCCCCACGATTTCGCCAACTTTCCAGCAGAGTCAGACCCAAGGTTCTGTGTCCTTCCACCTGCTCTGCTCCTCACTGTTTCTCTCTGGCCCTTCGCTGCAGCTGCATGTGCGAACAAAGATGATGCCTGCATGCAGCGATCGAAGTGAACAGGGAGAAAAATACTGATATAAAAGACACGGCTCCACTGAGAGCACAGCAGTTTACACCATATGCAGCTGTCACTCATCTGTAGTCCCGCTCACAACATACAGACACGAACATGATAAAGTGACATGGATCCAATGACATGATGACCCCAATGAGCAGACGACAGCAGTCTCTCCCCAAGAGTGACTTTAATGCAAAAAATAGGTTAGTTAGCTATACCATTCAATTTATTCTTGTATAGCCCTAGGACTTAACAAAACCGCTGAAATTGTCAACACAGATCAGAGAATCAACATTTAAGAAAGAGAAATATAGAACACATAGTTATTGGTCCATAGGGAGTTGACAAATGTCCATAAATGTTGTAGAATGTAGAGTGTCCTGGATCATCGCCACAGTCCTTCTTGTTAGACTCTGACAGTCTATAATTTTTTTTCTTCACCCTGGCCTTTCTATTTGAAGTTGGATGAGATTACAGCTTTGCATTCATAACCCATATTTTGTAGTAAACAATAAAGTAAATTGTCAAGGGCCCCCAAATGACATGTGTTTGCTTAGGGTCCCCTCAAGGCTAGAACCTGCACTGGTGGGACAACAGTCCAGACGAGCAGCCAAACCAGTGACAGATCTAAAAAATCGAGCAATTACCGGAACACACAGTCCTCATAAAAGTACGTGGAGTCGTTGTTGTGCCTTTGCTTTTACTGCCCATGTGGAGAGCATTACTTCTGTACGTGCTGACGTGTAAAGTCTGACTAAAGCCGTGTTTACTTAACCTCGAGGAGCACAAGACCCTTCTGCCCCTGCTCCGTTAAACTGTTTACGCTTCCTCTTTTTCTTTTTTGTCTCAGCAGGACGTCCTGTCTTCCAAAAGTGTATATTAACATAACATCTGTTTGTTTTTATCACTGATGAGCTTTTGACCTTGACCCCAGAGAATATAAGTCTTGCTTTAAACTCTTTTTCATCAACACATTTGCATACTGGGTGTCCAACTCTCCAGCTTTGTGATGTGGTTTTGGGGGTTGTTTCTGCGGAGGATCTGCCCTCTCTCAGATTGTTTGCAGTGTTCTGTGCAGCACATGTGATCATTAAGGTCGTGCCAGGCTTCGGAAAGATACTTCCGATCAGGCCCGTCCTAAGGGCTGTGCGACCTGTGCCGTCGCACAGGGCCTCGCACCACACAGGGGCCTCGCAATCTTCCTTCCTTTTATTTTATTTTATAAATACACTAGTTCAAGGGTCCCCAAAGGGCAGACTGCACTCCAAATTTGGAACCCTAAACCCCTTTCTCTGGACCTCTTTGATTTCGTTTGATCAAAAGAACATTTTTACAAGTAAAGTCAAATTTTCACCAAAAGCGATTTGTAAACAGGCAGGCGCGCGGGCAGCTATGTATGCAACGGGTCCTCCGAAAAAACTGTCAGATAACTTTAGCAGTGTCTGAGTGAGATACAAAGAAAGTAACGGGAATGATCGCAGTGTAGGAGAGATGGATACTCGCGGAGGAGGAGCAGTGAGACAGGTGTGAGCAGAGGAGCAGACCCCTTTGTGTGAGCAGAGGAGGAGGAGGAGGATCAGCGGTGTGACAGGTGTGTGAGCGCTGCTATTGCCAATGTTTAGTCCGAATATCCACATCAAAAACATATTTTTAAAAGCATTAGCAAACACACTGTATGTCTAGCTTTAGCTAGCTGGAGTGTTTTTGTTGTGGTCAGAGTGTGTGGAGGAGGAGGTGAAGAGTATTTTGTTGTTGTCAGTGTGGAGGAGGAGGAGCGTATGTTGTCAGAGTGTGTGGAGGCATGGCAAAAACGTTATTTGATGAGAAAAAAATAATATTGACTCCGCCTCATAGCCATTTTGGCGCATTTTGCCCAAATCTAACTATTAGAAGAAAAAGACTCCTTTTGGTTCAATCTTTTGAGTTGCTCTACCATTTTGCCACAGGACGAAAGAGACATGTCAGCTAAAAAGACCGCGACCAATATTGCACGTAGAGTGTGTGTGCGTGTGTACGTGCGCGCGCCAAACGCTGCATAGGAGCGAAGACACTCGGTTACACGCGTGCTGATCTCGTCAAGCACCGCGCGAGGTGGTGCTGAATTCATGTCAAAGATTATAACAGGAAAAACTTTCCTCAGATCTGGGAAAAAAGTGTCAGGGCAGGGCCTCGCGTTTCGAGTTCGCACAGGGCCTCGCACTCCCCTTGGGACGGGCCTGCTTCCGATGAGTATAAAAAAAGTGGCGGTGGCGCTCTTTGGAAGGCCACATTAGAGATGCCGGTGCAGCGTGGCCATTTCTGTTATAAACTTTGTGATTGTGTTCTATGATTTAGTGGGAATTCTCTTTAAACGTACAGGAGCGCTGACGTTTGTTCAGGAGCTCCGATGAGGCAGCTGTGGAAAAATGTGAGGGGAAAAAACTGAAGAAAAATGGTCGGCAAATTTTGCAAGTTTTTTTCCTCACAGCTCTTTGCATTTGCGTCAAACCTCTTAAATCATTGCAGCCTTTGCTGATTATGGTCATTTTGATTTGTTTTGGATGAATCCTGCAGCACTAATAGAATCTGTTCCCATTAAACTCTAATGAACCTGTGGTCTCTGGCTTCTTTGTCAAACATGTTTCTAGATGCCCAATAATTCATGGCAGTATTATTGAGTTATTACTCATATTATCTTGGTGCTTCGGTCATTGGCAGCAAAATGTACACTCTCTCTGAATCTTTGATTCTGTGGACGAGTGTTTCTTATCATATATTTATTGAGTCTGAGCAGACTTTATGAAATATATATATAAAAAATCTCACATTTCACATATTCTTCTGGCAACGGGGAAAACAAACGTGATATTTCCATGGGAAACGGTATCATTACATAAATAGACTGAAGTCAATGAAAGCTGATTACCATGGTGATGTTGTTATGGTGACCAATCAAAGTAAGGAAGCGAGATGACGCTTTCCAAAATATGAAAGATTCTGAAAGGTGCATGTATCAATCTACAGCTCAACACAGGTCCGGAACATTTAATTACAACTTATTTCATTGAGTTCATTTATAGTGGTTCGTGACTCACAATACGTATAATATGTATCTACTACTCTGCAAATAAGT